TACATTTATCCATTTTTCTGAATCATTTTTCTCATAGAAAAAAGCATTATTCCACTATATTTTCATTTTTTCTCTCAATTAGATACGTATATACGGTTATAGTGAAAGACATTTTTTGTTTTAAGCTACCATTTTTCCTACTAATGTGGTCCATTTTTCCGCTGTTTTTTTCATTTTTTCTTACGACTGAACGTAGATATACAATTATAATGAAAAGCAATCTTTCCTAGCCGAGTATTATTTTTCCTATTAGTGGAGATCATTTTTTCTTATTACTGCATATATGTATATATACATTCGTATCTAGAAGCATTTTTCTACGTATTATTTTGATCACTATTTTCATGAATCATATATGCATTTTTCTCATGGGGACCATTTTTCCGCTGAATATAATCATTTTTCTCACCGATCAAATATTTATCCACTGCTGTCAATGAGATATATTTCTCAATGCTCGTTAAAGATAAACAATTTTGTTTCTCATTTCTCATTGGACAAAATAAACTTACTTCTTCTTTTTTACTCACGTCAGCAAGTATTGTGAGCACGGAAGAAGAATTAACATCTAGAAGGAAATAAATATATCTCTCGATTACAAAATATAAATCAAAATGTACTCATACCATTTATTTTACTAAATAAGCGTTGTTGACGATTATAGTCAAAATCGAAGATTGATTTCGATCCGATGTTTCCAAAATTGATTAAATATTTCATCTTCTACAATATTTTCACACTTAACATACAATCCCAGGTCGAACAATCCGGCACGGAAACGATCGGTTCCATAGTATTCCGCTCGGAAATAGCCAGTTTCATGAGAGATTTTGCCGGAAATTCATAGAATCCTGCTTGAGGAACCCTCGTCCTGAGAATTCATAATGAAACAATTGTACTAAAAAATAATTTTCATGTATATCGTTAATCCTTCCTATTGTAAAGCCATTTAAATAGATAACATAGATAGCTAAAAATTCGATAATAAAATTTCAGAAATGGACTTACCATAATTTTTGATGGCTGTAACGTCATGAATTAAAATTTTATCATTGTTGAGTTGTTCGCCGTTAATAAAAGCAGGCTATTAGTAATTTATGCGAACACCACGAACACCCACAACTTGGAAAGTTATGTTCACGAACATCCACTTTGCTCGACTCTTAGAAAAGGTTAATCGTTAACAAAGACTAAAAAATGACCCCCGTCAACACGAACACTCAAAATGTCTCTTACAGTCCGAACAAATTCCAAAACGTCCTGACACGAACACCCACAGAACTTCATAATACACCACCAATTTTTGCATTAATCTTATGATTTAAATTTTGAGCATCTAGAACAGTGCTTCTAGTTCTTCTGCTTTTCGTATTTTTATAAGCAACCAAAAAATACTTTCATACAAACACAGTGTTAAATTCTTATATAGTATATTGATTTCGATAAATGTTTTCATTAGACTAATAATAAAAGAAAGACAGATTTTGATATATACTCTTGATGATAATTTCTTGAGAAAAAAAAAGACAAAATATAATCATTTCGATTTATTTTTCTTATGTTTATACTTTACAAACAATTAATATTCAAATGAAACAACACAACAATTAACAAAGTACAATATTTATCATATAATATTCTTAATATTGTTTTTGCAAATTTAAATAAATGTCGATGCGTTCATCCCACTAAATGGACATTGACCAGTTGAAGAAGGTAATTTATTAATAACATTGAGAAGAGGTTTTGATCGAGAATTTATTTCATACATTGCTGGATGATAATCAGATAATCTATCATTATCAAGAATTTCACTTTTTGATTCTAACATAGCTGCATATTCAATATATGCATCTTTTGTTCCACTTAACCAAAATGTTTGCATTTCTCCTTTACCCTAAATTTTAAACAAAATTCATTTAAATATAAAAAGTAGTATTTAATAGTAAACCTTCATATGAATTTTTCCTCGAGGACTTGTTTCAAAATATATTGAATCTTTCAATAATTCCCATGATGCTACACTTAAATGAACACGGCCTACCTAAATTATTATAAGGAAAAATTAATTTGAGTTTTAGGAAAATATAAATATTTACTTCACTTGTTGTTGTCACTCGACTTGCCTTTTTAAAAATAAATTTCAAAAAAAAATTAGATTGATTATTTTTCTATTAAATAAATACCGTATTAATAGTATCGCCAAAAAGACAATATTGATAATTTTTATGTCCAACAATTCCTCCAACTGCTGGACCAGAATGAAAACCAATTTTAATCTTAAATGGTACTTTACTAATTTTATTAATAATTTTTTTTGATTGTCGCGAAAGTTCAAGAGCAAGTCCAGCAAGAATTTCAGCTTGATTTAAACCGAGTGGATTTTTTACATCAGTCATTATTTCATCTGTACTATCTCCACCTACTGAACTTCTTACACTTGATCCTGACTTTAATAAATAAAAGAAATAATATAAAGAAATAAATTAAAGATAAAACAAATATTTACACTACTAGATATTCGTCGTTGTGGAGCACGTTCTTGTATACCCGAAACAATCATATAAGATGAATCTGCTTTTGTTTCAACCTTTAATTAAATTATAATTCAAGTTTTTATTTTTTTTTGATCGAAAATTTACTTTGAAAACATCGTATTTATCTGCACATTGATCAAAAATAACAACCATTTGATTAACAGCTTGAACTATTTCAGTTGGAGTTAATTTTTGTATAACATCTTTAAAATCCATTGTATAACAAAATAATACAGTTATTAATTTATGTGACTAAAATTGAAAATTTCTTTTTATAAGGACAAAAAATTTCTTCATATAATTACTTCACAGATTGAATTAGCTACAATTCCTTGTTGTAACATTTGAGCTATATGACGTGGCATCATTGAATAAAGAAGACGTTTTCCTTTACGTCGCCATTCTTGTAATTCAACTTTTGTTTCTTGTAATTTTGAAATCCATGCATGTTGCTAGAATTATTCGAATGTTAATTTCTGATACTATTACTATTGTGTTACTCTAAATTTGTATATCTACTCCATCATCATTTAAACAGTTCACTTTATCGAATAAGTTTGCGTTATCTTTTAAAAAAATTTGTTCAAATCTAAAACTTTGGTCGCTTGTGTATGTAAGAGGGCAAAAGAAAAGCCTGGGAATTTCGTTCTATTATCTTTCATATCCTATCTATAGCATATCAAAGAATGAGAAACTAATGTGAGAGATTCTTGACATAACCGTCAGAAATAACTAATTGTTTCGTGATATAAAAAAGAGGATTTATTAAAATTTAACGCTCTCTAGATATGCAGATTTTGAAGAAGTTCGCTAAGAAAACTGAATGTGTTAATTGATACTAAAAACAAAAAAATAAATACTTTATCGATAGCTGCTTGTAATTGTCTTGCATGTTGCATTCCTGCTATAAGAATTTCACTTGATCCATCATAAAAATTTAGATCATGAAGTGTTAATCCAATATTCATCATTTCTTCAGTTGTTGATAATCTATTATTAAATAAAATATAATTAAAAGAAATAAATAATAATGAAAATATACATAGGATGGCATAGAAAAACAATCATATTCCAACTGCTAATCCATTTCATTTGTCCTTTTAATCGAATGGCTGAACTTCCTGTCATTCCTGCTGTAGTTTTAGGTTTTTTATTCATTGAATTATCATTAGATTTATTTCCTTTATCAGATCGTAATGGTATTCGACTTTCCATTAGAAAAACAATATGTCGACCATAGCTAAGCATCTAAACATAAATAAATAAACAGATAAATAAAATTTCAATAAATAAATTACTTTATTCCATTCAAGAACAATATCTGGTCGAATCAATCGAAATATTTCATCAAGATGACGTCCAATGATAACTGTATCAACTGGAAAAAGACTTTTAATTGATTTTCCCATATGATTTATACGCATTGATGGATCAATTAAAACACAAAATGGAAATACTTTGAAAAATGTGTCACTTGTTATATCTGGTAAATTTGGAATACTATGAAGACGTTTTGATGTTTCTTTAACTGCTGAATTATTAAAATCAACACGAAATACAATACGAGTACCTAATAACAAAAAAACAGATCAATTTTTTTCTTTAGTTGTAAAACAAAAATAATTACATTCATTTGTTGATAAATCATCTTGAATTCGAACATAAATATCTTCATTATAAAATCTTGATGCACATTCTTTCAATTGTCCAACAATATATCGTTGAAATCCTCGACGACGAGATCTAAAAATAAATTTCTTATTTCTAGATAATATAAATTAATAGAAAATAAATTTACTTATATTGAAGAAAAGCTCCAAGTTCATCTTCTTCAAGAACATGAAATAAAGGAGATTTCATTCGAGGAAAACTAAATTTTGTTGAATCATGAAGTTGATCAATTGAATGAAGAAAATCTCCAAAATGTCTTCCAGCAACACGTAAAATTTTATCATAACCATAGTTTGTAAAAAATCGAACAAAACATTCACCAAAAAATTGCATATAATATTCTGGTGTACCTTCGTGAAGTATATCAGCAAGACCTGAAGTGGTTTTTATAAACAATTACATATAAAAATTAATATTAAAATTTAATTACATTCAGCAATTTTTTCAACTAAATTATCTTCATATCGACCAAGTGTTGTAAATGATTCATGTTCAAAATTAAGTTCTTGAACAATTTTTTTCCATATTTGATTTCCATAACCAAGACAAATTCCATCTCTTGCACTTTCTAATAATATTCCATAGAGCATCTTTAATCACTTCTAGTCAATCTCAAAACAAGTCTATTATAGTTATTATTAAAATACGAAAGAAAAATCTCGAGAATAAAACAAAGATTATCTTTCTAAATGGACACCTTTTTTATAAGAAGAAAAAAAGAAGAGCATCATCCACGTTCTTTCATGCAAAGATAAGAGAAATTATCCAAATAAATTTTTAATAATTTATATCCTTAGAATAAAACATTTCATTATTGTATTTTTAAATAGAATGAATCTTGTCTGTTAGTATGAAATTCTATCCTATATTGTCTATATATTCATTGTTAGATCCAATTTCATAATTTATTTATTTATTAATGATAAAGAAATACAGAGAAGAAAAAAAAACTTAGTTAAAAATAGATATTAAATCTGTTTGTCACTTCCATCACCAATAACAGTCATACATTTTGTTAAAACTTTTTTTGTTGTTGTTGGTGATGTTAAGATTTGTTTGTCATTATCATTATCATTATTAATATGATCATAAAGATTTTCTAATTCAACTGTTCGATGAATAGGTGCAAAATTTGTTGAATTTGTTTGTGTTGTTGAACATGATGTTAAATCAACAAGTTCATTTGAACGATGTAATGATGATGTTTGAGATGATGTTGACGACATTATATGATACTTTCAAATATAATGAATAGAAAATAAATAAGGATAGAAGAGATTTTTTTCCTTTTCTTTTATCTTTCTTTCTCTTCTTTTATCTTTTTTTCTTTTTCTTCTTCTTGTTTCGCTAATCAAATGAAAAAAAAAATTCTTTCTATCATAATACAATTTTTTCGCTGATCCAACTACAATCAACTCCAATTTGCATATGTCAATATATTAAATTTGAAATAAATATAAAAAAAAGAAGAATTCAAATTCTTATTACTTCTATTTCAAAACTAAAACAAAAATATACGATTTGCACTTAACATAATTCTATATATTCGAACAAAATCTTGCGCCCTAGATATTAACATACCGGAAAGAAAAATACTGCATGTCTCATTTTAGATAATAATGAATACAGACATAAAAATAAACAGGAAGATAGCATTTATAAGAGAAGCTTTTTCCCTTGTTCTATATTAAAACAAAAACAAAACAAAAAATAGAAACTTTGAACATGTTTGTTATCAAATAAAAGATTGCCTCTCAACATTCTTTGTTCATCTTATCAAGAATCCGAAACAAGCACTATCAATAACAAAATTTATTCTATTCATATAGAACTATTTCACTTAAGATAAAAGAAGAAAACAAGTGCATTTACTAAAGAATGTAATTTCCGCGCTTTTATCGATGACAAGCTTTTCTCATCAATACAAGTTTTCTAAGTGCTTACTTCAAATCATAAATTACAACGTTTTTTTCGTTTCGAAATCGTGTCAAAAATCTTCTATAATTAATATTTAATAATGTTATTCATTTATTAAAACATTTTTCTATTTGAATAATAAAGTTTTCTTTCAAAACTGTATGACATATGTCACTATTGATATAATTATCATAGCAGAAATAATGAATTTGAAATTGATGGTATCAATTGTAGACATATATCCGTAAACTCATCTAATGAAAATATCTTTTTAGTTAGAATGAAATAGTCGAGGTTCTATATGAAAATAATATAAAGTACATAATCCTATTTTTTTGCAATAAAAACATATAATTGATTTTCTTTCTTCTCTTCTCAGCTCTATCAAACATAACAATATTTACTTACCAATGTAGACAAACAATATACTGTTTCCAAAATAAAATATTAAGATTGTGTTTGCTCAAAGCAAAGCAAGTATGAAAATGATTCGTGTTCTATTATTAACTGATTATTTGTTTCACAATTGTCTTTCGAATACAGTTGAGCAGGGTGTGACTATAGAATATACTGGCTATAATTTTTCTTCGAAAGTAAATTTTAGTTTGTTGTTAGTGACATCTATTTTTAAAAGTTTGTCATTGGTTGATGTATATGGCCACGTTAGCTCGTTAATTTTGTTTCATTATATTTATCTTGTGTTATTGTACAAAAACCATTTTCGTTTATTAAACAATTATAAAATTTGAAGAAAAAAAAACGAACAAATATGGGAATAATTGATTCATTTTCATCATCATTTGAATCTCTTGTATCTGGTTTATTATCACCACATTGTTATAATGAATTAGTAGTGGAACAACATTTTTTTGATATGGGATGTAATAAAATGTTATTAAGTAAAATACTTGGTTATGCGATATTAGTTGGTTCATTATTGGTTAAACTACCTCAAATAGTTAAAATCAAATGGAATAAATCAGGTGTTGGAGTTAGTGTATTAGCTGAAACAATTATGTTAGCAGCTATATTTGGATCAATGGCCTATGGTTATACATCAGAATTTCCACTGTCAGCTTATGGAGATTCATATTTTCTTTTTATTCAAACAATTTTAGTTATTTTATTAGTACTTTATTATCAACGAAAATATGCAGCAGCTGTTACGTATTTAGGTTTGTTCATTTTTTTTTTAATAATTTAACTTGAGATTTAGAAGTTAATATTAGAAATAAATATCTTTTCATATGTAAATTAGATAGGAAATTTACTAATTATAAGATAAAGTGTTTCGCTGAATAAAGTATAATTATGATAAATGAGAGATATAAAAGGAAGTATGAGGTTTGACTTTAAAGTAGTACATTTCTTGTAGACATCCTATGCCGTTCTAAAGCTCGATGACAATGAGTACAGCAAGATGTTAATCATAAGTAGATATATTCGAACCATATCAATAGTATGTATTCTTTTAGAATAAAAATACGTAATAATCTATGACAAATTAAAAAAAAATGCGTGTGATACACGGTTATGGATCACGGATCATGACCTTTTCTAAAAGTACTGAAGCATAAATACTGACATAAAAGTATGTGTATTGAAAAACTATCAATTCTATATATATTTCAAATATAACGAATATAGTAAAATAAGGCAGCATATGGAATAAATGACACTTAAAGGAAAAAAATATGCGCGGATTTTTGTCTGTTACTTCCGAACTGTATCAATTTTTCATATTCTCATTCAGTAATAGTTATAATTAGACGACTAAAAAAGATATGCCTATTTGACCTAGTTAAAAAATTTTGTAGATCAAATAGCTCATTAGCTTTACTAATAATTGTATTTTATATCTCTTCAAAAAAGAAAAAAATATTTTTTTATTGGTTAATATTTAATGAAACTTTATAACTGACTGTAGTTTACTATAACAAAAAATTCTTCAAGGTCTCGATTAAAATTTTCGATTTTTATAGCTTCCCTTCTTATCAGATTAATTCGTTCAATTAAGAAAACAAAAGTCCCATGAACGAAATAAATATAAGAACACTATCTTACTTTTAACTCACTCATATAGAATAAAGCTGAATTAAAAATAGGAAATTGATTTTATATTTGTATTTTATTTATTTAGTTTTATGCAGTGTTGTTACCGTTTTAATGTATCAAAAATTACTTCCTGCTGAATTAGTTAGCATTTTAGCTGGTTTATCACTTGTATTCAGTTTAATCAGTCGTTTTTATCAGTCATATTGCATATATCAGGCTAAATCAACTGGTAATCTTTCTGCAATTACAATGTTAATGTTATTTTTTGGTTCAATCGCACGAATATTCACATCAATTCAAGAAACAGGAGATCCAACACTTATTTGGACATATATATTAAATACATTTGCTAATTCTTTATTGATATTTCAATTGGGATATTATTGGTCAGCTCCTGCGCCAATATCGGAACAAACGAAAAAAGTTCAATAAACATTTATTATTTCGCTTTCTTTTTTTTTGTTTTTTTTTGTGCTGTGTTTTGTTTATCGAGACAAGAAAAAAATGATTTAAGTAAAACCAGAAAAAATTGTTTTTCTTCGTTTTATTTTAGATTAAAGACAAATAAAAATGTCAGACGAAGCAACAATTGAAGAAGAAGCTGATGCTGAACATCCATCGACTACATCTCGACCAGAAACAGATACTGGTCTTTTAAAATGGTCATACATTTTTGAAATAGGTTAGTTTATTCTATTAATTTGTTTTCTTTTATTAATTATTTTGTTTTTGTTTTAATTTAGTGGCTAAACAATGGACAATATTTTTAGTATTGTCAATTGGAATAGCTGTTTTTCTTTATATGAGTAGAAAAAAACGAACAGTTCGAAAAGATCTTAGTTCAGCTATAAAACGTGATCATGCTCAACGTATAAGTCAAGCAAGTGCCAAACCAACATTTTATAAACGAGAGTAATCTTTTTTTGTATAATGTTTTTTCTTATCATTTATGGACTTTTCAATAAAAAGTAGTGGTTATAGTAGCATAGTCTTCATTAATCATCGAATAAAATATTGAGTCAAACATACTGTCATAGAAAATATTTAGATATATCTTCTATTTGGAATGTTTTTTACAGTCGGTATATAGTGGCGTGGTATTTTAGTCAATCTTCAGGATGAATATTTATTTTAAAAGAATTGAAAAATGAGAAAAAAATGTCAAAATATTTAACTTCAAATAAAGTTGTGATGTATGAATTACAAATAATAAATTATAATAAAAGAATATAAGGAAAAAATATTAGACAAATTTACATAAGGTTGTTTTACGTCTGGTAGAAAGTAGAAATCAAATTATCTATAGTAAAGAAAAACAAATTAAAGAATGACAGAGTCATTAGTATCGAAGTTTTAAAAGAAGGTAGGTGGAGGAAACACTTATAGCTTGTGGTTTTCAACATTCAATAGAGAACAGTCAGGGGGGAAATATCGATGTGTGAAACTGGTTTCCGACAGCACTTTATTATGAATGGTTTTTTTTAATCTTTGTCAGCAGGAATTGTCTATACTTATATTCGCTTTCTTATTTTCCCTTTATTTCTTCTACAAGAACTTGCCTGGAGAAGTATTAATGGAAAATTATTCCCGTACATAGGTTCGTACCCTCGACCGAGTGGTGAAAATCCCAGGTCGCTATTAAAAGCTTTTCTGCCACCTGCCTTCTATTAAGAATCGAATAGTAGTCAGATTTGTTGTTTTGTTAAAGTAAATCCTTGAATAAAAAAAATTATTAAATCTACAGTTATTATTCTTTCGTAACATTTTGTTGTATTGAAAACTATTTATTTCCTACAATGCTAAAATTATTAACTCAAATGTATTTCAATTTTATACTAGTAGATTTTATTTTTTTCTATATGATCATTTGATTTTTCACAAAAGATGTATACAATAAAAGAAAAGATTACATTACATCATTTTATAGTTATTCAACCAACCTTTTGGCTACATTTGTAAAAGAATAAGACATACATCTATTCATGTAAATAATTTATTCATTCTTTTTCTATTATGTCTATACAAAGCGAATAGTATAAAGTGCATGCAATTCAAATCAATAATTATATTAAGTTATGTCAGATTTAAGTTCGAACCAATACATATAGACAAAGATCAATAATTTGTCTGTAGATATAATAGCAAGAATTTATATTTATTTTAAAAGTATTAGTATAAAAGCGAGTGATAATCAACATGCTTCTCTTTCAATCAACACACTGTGATCAAGTTCAATTAGATTTTATGCACATATGCAAACAGATGGTTAAAATGGTTAAGTTATTTATTCGTTTTTAATACATATACATAATAGAAAATAGCGTAATTAAAATGAGTAAAATTTATTTTTCGTATGGGACGTAGCTCACACGGTAGAGTGCTCGCTTTGCATGCGAGAGGTACCCCGGATCCTCCAATTTTTACTTTTTTTTAAACGAAAAAAGAACATTTATTTAACAGATAAGCCAGCAATTTGTCTACATTTATGCATTGTAGCTCGTAAAATAAATTGTTTACGAGATAATTCTCTAACATGCTAAAAAGAAAAGAAAATATAAAAAGAAAATAGATTATTAAATAAAACAATATACTTTTAAATAAATATCTAATCCAATTGCTTCTCTTCGAAGTCCATCAGAAAGATAATATAATAAATCTTGAATAGCATGTTCTTCAGCATAAGCTTGTAAGAGCCTTCAACAGCAACAGAGAAGGAATTAAAAAAAAGACAGGTAATATAAAAAAAGAACTTTACTGTTTGTAAACAGGTGCAGGAGTTATAAGAGCATCATCTTTAACAGAATTTTCTTTTCCTAATGATGATGATGAAGATGGCATTTTTTGTGTTGCATCTAACATTTCATTTGTTTTTGCTTTAATATTTGATATATAATTCTAAACAATTAAATTTAAAATAGACAAATAAAAATAAGAAAAGACAAGATAAAAACTTGTGCTTGAATTTGTTGTTGTTGAGCTTCATTAATCATAATTTGAAGTTTTTTATCTCCTTCTTGTAAATCTTGTTCTGTTTTTCTAAGTGAATCAATTTGTGCATTTCCTATTTGTAATGTTTCGTCTAAACGATTTCGAACTTTATCAAAAACAGCTGTTTGAAGTGAATCTCGATAGACATCTTGAGGAATTTGTGTTTGTGGATATCCATATGGATATGAATGTGATGTACTTGCTGCACTACCGCCTGTGCCCATTACCGATGGCATTGGCATTGATGTATGTGTTGGATATGGTGTTGAATGAGTAGCAGCAGCAGCAGTTGTAGTACTACCACCACCACCAGCATTTGAATATACAGGAGGTGATTGACTAAATGCATCAGACATTGCATTTATTAAATTATTTAAATCGCTATTTGGCTAAAAATAAAATGAAATAAAATTTAAACTAAAATATAAATCCAATTGTTTTACATGACGCCAATTTCTCATATAAGGTATAATAACCGTTCCATCAGGTTGAACATCTCTACTTGTTGGTGAAACATACATATCGGTTGTTGGTTTAACATATGCGACTGGTGCAACAATTGGATGTTCTGGTTGAAGAAATATTTCTATTGGAATGTTATAACGATTTCCTTTGTATTGACATGTTACAGTTCCATATAAACAAAGTAATTCCTTTGCTGTTCCATCATTATAATAATATTCAACTAATTTTAATATTAAATTACTTGTTGATGAATTAATTCCTTGAAGAACATCTCGACGAACCAAATCACGATTTGTAGGCTTTAAAATTCAAAAAAAATTATTTTTTTTATTGAAAAATATATAGGTTATTTTTATTTACTCGTGCTCGATTAATCATTTGGTCGACCTCATTGTGAGTTTGTTTCGGCATGATTATTATCGCTGCTGGTGCAGAGAAAAAAAAATCAAATGAATAAATGAACTGAGGTGTAATGTAATGTGTTGTCAAATGAGTCAATGTAATTGTATATATATAACCATTCAATCAATAAGAAGGAAGAGGTCGCTCCATCGTTGTTCCGCTATTTGATAACCTATTTTATCAGCAAATTAATTAAATGTCAATTTCGAACTAAAATAAAATAGACTCTTATCGTACATTACTTTTCAATGGCTATAGAAATCATCTCATATATAATATAATTTCAAGTATGTGAGACTCAAAAAGGTTAAATGATACTATTGTAAAATGATAAGGATATCATAATCCCATTGTAAATAATAGTTTTTATTCAAAATATTTAATTTTAATTTTTGATAACGACAAGAATTATAGCAATATACGTCTTCTCAATCTTCAAGGATTATTAATGTTTTTTTATTAATCACTCGAGAATTGTAATCGTCACGATTTCGTTGAAATTCGATCTAATTGAAGTTTTGCTTTCCGCTTATATTAAATGTTTGTTATGATATTTAAACCAAATAAAAAATCAAGATATCACCTATTCATTTATTTTTACTCAGATTCAGACATACATCTAAATTAGTTCAATTGAAAACTACGTGATTGTTTAATCGGTATACATGATATAGATCCAACAGAATTTCATATAGTTTTCTATGTAAAAAAAAGAAAACAACAAAAGTTTTGATTGATTAATATTATATATCATACAAAGGATATTGATAACCAGTCAAATATTAATTCAATTTTAAATATCTGACGAAAAATGAAACACTTGAGATAAGCAACAATTATTATTATGAAGTGTCCGAATATTTAGTAATATTATCGAGTAAACTTCGTATATGTCTTAATAAAACTAATTTTGAATAGCTGCAGAATAGTTGACAAAGAATCTAGTCAAATGATTAGAATTGTTTCCTAATTTGATCTGAACGTAATATAGCGCGTAAACAAGAAATGATACAGATGGATACTACACTTTTATCCATAATTCACTATCGATACTATTGTGAAATATTTTTTCTTTTATACTGTAATCATAATAAACTTGATTTTCAAGAAGATGAAGTCAATCAATCGAAAGAATTCAATGAGCATTTTTATAGGATCTAGTTGAATATGATCTTTTAAGAATAATCAGCCAAACTCATACAATATACAGCATGAACAACAACATCTATAATACATTAACTAAGTCATATATATTTTTAGTATCACATTTAAACAAAATAATTGAAGTTATTTTTTTGGAAAAAAATAAAATAAATTAGGAAGAAAAATTCGGTGATAAAAATTCTCTGAGATAATCATCTTGTGAACAAATTCGACAAAATTCATCTTGACTTATTTTCATATCATTATTTTCATCAAATTTAGCAATAAATCCATTTAAATGTTTCATAATATCATCTTTTAAACGATCATTATTAGCTTCACCACGAAGTGAAAGAACCATTCGAATTATTGTTTCTATTTCAATTCTTGTTAAAATTCCATTTTTATCAACATCGTATAATTCAAATGCATAACGAAGTTTTTCTTCTAAATTACCTTTTTCCATTAAATCCATTGCTAAGAGAAATTCATTAAAATCAATTTTTCCTTCAAAAAAAAAGTTTTAATTTATGAGAGAAAATCAATGAAGAAAAGAAAAACAAACCTGAATTATCTTTATCAAAAGTAACAAATACTCTTTTTGCATATTGTGTTACATCACCTTCGGGAAATGCTTGTTTATACATATGAATAAATTGTTTTTGTGTTAAAAGACCATCAGGACAATCTTTATAAAATCCATCTAAGATAAAAAAAATTTATTTTGAAAAACAAAAAAATCTATTATGTAACATACGAAACCATTTTTGAATTTCTTCTTCAGTCATTCGTGTTCGCATTTTTAAATATTCAATTTGTTTTTGAGATAATTCAGGTTTAATAGCTTTTTTTGATTCAGATGCACCCATTCTCTGAAATACTACAAGATCTATTTATTTATCTAATCGACATAAAAAAAAACAATTCTAAAAGTTTATTATTTCTATTAATATCTTATGATTAAATAAATTACTAAGATAATAAAAAAAAATTGATAAGTTTATTGATTAATATTATTTGACATGTGGAGTAGTTTGATCATTGATTAAAGGTTTATTTGCATCTTGTGGTGATACATGAGCTAAATCTTCCATTTCTTCACTTCGATGAAGTGTAACACATTGTCCTTTTTCAGCATCTTCAGCAATATGTTTTTTATCTTTATCAGTTAAATGTGTTAAATCTTCGACTTCAGATGAACGTTGTATTGGAACTGAATCGGCCATAAGTTTTATTTGAGTTAACTATTGATCTATATCGTTGTTTACTGTATATTATAAATGCTCTGTTTTGTTCATATAACCAATCTTAGAGTTTATTTTCGTTAAATATTGATTAAAAGCGACATCTCACAACTATCATAAAAACAAAAGCTATATATAAAAAATATTTGTTTTAATGTACATGTATGTCAGTATGTGTTCTCCGTTTCTGGATGTTTTATCTGTAGACAGAATAAATATGTCTACTAGAAATTTGATCTATATAATTCTCAAGGAAGATCATATTGAATTACTTCTGATACAAATAAATTAATCTACATCAGATGCTCGTATTTAGCTCCAGGACAATTTTTATCTTAATACATGTTAACGGTTAATATTAGATAATAAAATCTATTTCAATAAAAGTATTTGCTAGACGTAAATTTTTCTTTTCTTTCATTCTTAATTTTTTCATCCATGTAATGTATGCACCACCTACAGTCATATGAAAAAATTGCTGCTAGAAAAATAAATTAATTGATGTGGTAATATTCGTCATGTTCTTGCAAATGGATGCACCACGTTTAACATTGAATAGTCAAACATTTATAAATTAAATAAGAGTTAACTAAATATAAGAACAAAATGGGGTACTTAAAAGGACACTGATTAAGTATCCAACTGCGCACTATGACACAGTATTTTTAAGTAATCTGTTGATATTTAATCTTTCCAATTCTGAAAACTCAAGTAGATCAAATTTCGAGAGGGTGTGGGTATTTGAATTAGTCGAGTCTCCATCAAACCACTTTAGGATAGTCGACTAGTAAATAGTCAAGAAATAACCTAAGAAAATTATCATTTCTTCTTTCGAACAGTTGTTATACAGAATACGACAAATCTAAGGCACATACTCATACAAGTACTTATTTATTTCTTAATATATGGATAACCTGAGCTCAGTACTTTCTCTAATTCTGCAACAAAAATCAAGATTTCAATTGTTTTAGTTTTCGAGAAATCATAATAGCAATAAATGCGTTAAAATATTTCGTTTTTGTGTAGATTGAAAGACAATTAAAATTGTTATAACTTTCAACTTCAAGAAATTCCATCGAACATGAACGAGCAAGAACAGAAAAATAACACTTTAACAAATAAAAGATATTTGTATCATAAACTTCGTTAATGCAAAAATTCTATACGAAGTTAAAACATGCCGGTCGGGTTATATTGGGAATCTCCAATATGTCAAAGAGACATAGTTCTATCAAACACAACACCCTCGTTTTTCCTTCCTATCATTAAATTTCTTTTTTTTTCTCGAACGGTACAATGAGCGTGCTCTTCACTCATATATAAATAAGTGGGTGTGCGTTTGTGTATTATTATATTAATAATTATCAATATAATGCGTATTGTTTGCTGAATAGAAAATGCAATTCTTAAATAACTATGTTATTTTTGTATAGAAAAAATACTTCTAAAATGTATTATTACTATCATCATTGAGACTATATAGGATCAGTTTTCTTTTACAAAGCCTAAAATGGGCTCAAAGTAAAATATTTTTAGAATTCAACATAATTTACTTATAAATAAAATAATGTAGTACAATTGAATCTAATCTATGTACTTCTTCGAATCTTAATGTAACATTTTTTTTCTAAAAAAATTTTATATAATCATTTTCTCTTTCAATGCATTCAGTCAAAGTACTCAAAAAAAAATGATTATAATGCAGTCTATTGTATAATTAATAATAATTCTCATGTCATACTAAACTTGGAATTTCTTAACTAGTTTAGTAAAAGACTTCTAACGATTAGTTATTTAAATATCAATATGATTAGATGAAATATAATTACTATTTGTTTAAAACACTTTTTTTCTTCTATTAATATTGAAAATTATCGATGCTGAAAAACAAAACATTTAACAAAAGAAGAATTGTTTCTTTTCATAATATATATATATATGATACTATTGTCGTAGTTAATTTAACACATATTGATCAATTGTTTTTCATATTGATATTTGTTAAAAATGAGAAAATAATTATATGATTATTTTTCTCTAATATCTTCATAATAATCAAAGAAAATTTGTCTAGGGAATATGACGAATAGTAAAAACCATACAACAGAATGAGTAATTAAGTAAAAATTTGTTGTAACGATAAATCGATTGTCTCAATATGTATAACAGACGAAAGAAGTTTATCTATATATTTATTGCGGTTGTTGTTTACGTGCATGTTGTTTTAATACACGTTGTACATAACGACGAGGACAAAGAAGTTTCATAAATGCCAAACGAAATTCTCGTGATGTTAAAGCATAAACAAGAAAATTAAGCTAAATAAATAAATAAATAAATATAGAAAGAAAATAAATAAATAAATAGAAAAAAAAAACTTACAGCTGAATTTGTATAACCAAGCCAAGTAAAAAGCCGAAAAAGTTGTTCTTTTGAATGTTCAAAATTTAATCGAAAGACACCTGTAAGAACAAGAAAAACGAAAAATGGTAACCAACAAGCAATAAATACACCCATAACAATTCCTAAAACTTTTGTTGCCTTATGTTCACGTGAAAAACGTGACCAAGTTTGTGTACGACGAAGATTATGTAAACGACGTACAAATAAAACCGGAAATGATACATGATCTAAAAGTGATCGTTCTTGTGTTACGGGTGGTAATGAGGGAGAACGTGAATATTTTCCACGATGTATTCTTAATGTTATTGTTTCAGGTGTATTTGTTACTGTTGGAATATTTTCAACTGTTGTTGTTGTTGTTGTTGATGGTGGATTTCGTCTTTTTGTTGAACGAAAAAAAAATCGTGATACTAAAGGTGATAATTGATATGTTTCACCACTTGTTGTACGTTTAAAACCTTGACGAAATGCTATCATTTGTCGACGTGCAAATACTAATATTCGTCCATAAACAAATACCATTATAAGAAGTGGAATATAAAAAGAAACTGAAGATGATACAATAATAAATAATGGATCAGAAGGAAATTCACATCGATCATATGTTGTTACATTTGATATATTTGATACTAAAAAGAAAATAGATATAAATTTTATTTATACATATATATATGTATAACCTAATGAATTAGTTCGATTTCCTAAAACCATAACTGTTGGACCAGCAATAATTGCTGAACAAAACCATATTATAGCAATAACAATTGATGAATGTCGAGCTATAAATGATCTTGGATAACGAATAGGTGATGTTATTGCTATATATCGATCAAGTGCAATAACACATAAAGCAAGAATGGATGCTGTTGATGCTCCAACATCAGATATATGCCATAAATGACATAAAAAATGAAAAGGAGGTGGTGTTAAAAGTTCGAAACAAATAGCTAATGGTATAACAATAACACCAACACAAAGGTCAGCTACAGCCAATGAAACAATGTAATAATATGTTGCTGAATGAAGTGTTGCTTCACGATAAACAGCTAATATAACAAGAACATTACCCAATAAAGTTAAAAAACATACGAAAAATAATAACCAAATTCCCGGTAAGATCATTTTATTTAGATAGATAGATATGTCTATTTTAATTCAAGAAGATCATCAATTGTAGCTGTCAATGCATCTTATTCTTCTTTTTTTTTTATAATAAGAGTAATTTTGTCTGACTAATCATGAATATAAAAAAGTTCTTCGTCGTTGTAATATTATTGATTGTTCTCTTCTTCTTCTCGGTTCGTTTCTCTTGAACAAAATGATGATCCGTATAAGAACAAGTTTCTCTCGGTCGGGTGATCGATGATGACGAAACTCGATGGCAAGGAAAAGCGACAACTCAGATTCAATTAGTCGTAGAATGTGTGTGATCTACATACAACGTAATTAAACTGATGCGAGAGATGTTAGGCATTGTTAACGTTTCTTTGTTTTTCTCGATATTTTCTTCTATACAAGCAACATATATATCTTTATAATAACATTCTCAAGGTCATTCCATCGACATACAATTTTACTTTCTTGTATTATCCTTTTTCATACCAACTGGTATGTATATCAATAAGAAAACATCTTAAATGACATTTATTGACGACTATTAATCTTTTTTTTTTCTACATCTATCTTATGTTTATTTGTCGGCATTTACACACGCAAAAAAAAATACAATTACATCTTGTTTGTATCTTATACAAACAATCGAGTCAAATAAGATAATTTTAGTGAAAGACGAAGAAGAAAATCCAAAGTATTTTTCTTGATTTTTATCAATTCTATTAATAATGACTTTCATCTTGTTGTAATCCTCTAATAAAAGAAATAATTATTCATACTCTCATCAACATGAAGATTACTAGTGTCGATTATTTCGCGATAGTTAAGTGATTATCAACAACTGTTGACTGTCGTCGTTATTAATAAGATTAGCTATGAAGATAAATATCCCTTATCTAAATTAATAATCTATATATAGATATCATACTTAATAAGGGGATTTTTTTTTTGTTTTTTTCTAGATTACAATAAATGGAAAGAATATATATATGTATACGTTTTAGATTTCATATTTGTTACAATATGTTCTATTAGAAAATACAAACAAACCACACATGAAATAGGATTGCGTTTTTATGATTAATTATGCCATTATTATGAGTTATTTTTGACTCGAATATTCCTATCAGAAACTTTTTTTTGAAATATTGACCAATTCGAAAGAAATAATATCTAACAAAAGAAATAATTATTATTCATGACAAAAAAAAGTCTTTGAATAAACAATGATTGAAAAATATTATTTCTTTAGACGACTTGATTAATATGAAAAATATGCATGTCACGAATAATATTTCGTCCTTTTCCAAAAAAGATTATTAATAAGAAATACATTAAATAGTTCTTTTATTAAAACTAAAATATTCTCTTTTAATCATAACACATAGATTTTTATATAAAAATACTTTTAATAGTTATTTTCGTATTTTTGTTTGATTCTTGTTATGTGATATAACTGATGTCGACAACACGTGTTAAAATCTAATAGAAGAAAAGAAAAGAAAAACATCCACTTGTATAAGACGTAGTTACATTTCATAAATATTTTTTATTGTGTACTCGTTGGCATGGGTTTATTATCTGAAGGTCACCCATTAGCATGGAATGAAATTAAAGCTGCTTTGGAACAATTACGAACGTATGGGGTAGATCAACTTTTACGTGTTTACAGTAAATGTAAAGATCGTCAAAGAGATTCATTTACATGGGGAGATGAAGTATTATATTAGTTTTGTTTATTTATTTATTTATTTGTTTGTTTATTTATTTTTAGCTTGAATATACATTAGTAAAATTTGATCATGAAAATAAAAAAGTTCAATTATTATTAAAAGCTCATAAATTATTACCAATTCTACATGAATTAAATAAAAAAATTGATGATGGGTAAGCATTGAATTTCCTAATATATGTCTATATAGATAAAAATCTTTGTAGAGAATGTTGTATTGCTTGGCATCCTGAAGCATGTGATTTTGTTGTTGAAGGTGTTCCATTTCAACCTTATGGATTTTTACCTTCTCATCTTAATACAGTTGAAGCAAATATGCGATTGAGACGTGAACAAGTACAAAAATTTTTATCTGAACAATCAGATAATGAATTTATTTTAAATATTGCTGCTTTTCCTAGGTGAATATTCATATATAGACAAGGATTACTTATTAATCGATTTTGTATATATCATTTCAAAGATATGGACAAGGAGAATATACTTTTCCACCGGTTGAATGTAGTCCAGCTCATTCTACTGAAAAATCTCTATGTTTTCCAGATTCACTTATTTCACCAATTCATCCACGAACAAAGTAAAATTCTATTTTATATTTTCAATAAAATAAATCTATTCATAGATCTTTATCAGAAAATACGAATGAACGACGTGGAGCAAAAGCATCAATTAATGTTCCAAGTAAGTTTATTAGCCAAATAAATTTATGAATACATTTTTCAATCGTATACAAATGTATTCTTTTTTTAAGTCATGAACGTATCTATTTATCATAAGACATGATAGTAACAATAGAAAAATGAGTAGTAAATTAATCATGTACTTTTTCTTATATCTATTCTCATATTGTTAATTATATGCATATATAAAGATATTTATTTATAAGAAAAAATATTTCGGTTATGATAGAAAAAAATTCTTTTAGATGTGTCACAGATAAATAGCACTTAGATCAAACATAAAATAGACATGTCATCTACTAAATAATAATAATAATAATAAAAAAAAGAAGAAAAAAAACTCTTTGATATTTGTTTTTAGTATATAAAGATACATGTACACCAATACCATTTCATGATGAATTATTTAAAGATGATCCTAATATAATCGATGATCATATTCATTTGGATAGTACAACAGCTGGTTGGGGTTGTTGTTGTCTTCAAGTAACATTTCAAGCTGAATCATGTGAAGAGAGTCTTGAACTCTATGATCAATTATTACCATTATGCCCTATTTTGGTATATTTTCAAATTTTATTATGTTTTAAATATTGTCAAAGTTTTCTTTAATTATTTAGTTATGTTTAAGTGCTGCATGTCCAATATGGCGTGGTTATTTATCTGATATAGATTGTCGATGGAATATTATAAGTGAAGCGGCTGATGATCGAACAGCTGAAGAAAGAAAACAAAAAAATCTTTTCTCTCGTTATTGTTCAACACCATGTTATTTAACAGATAAAAATAAACATTTAAATGATATTAAAATTCCTGTTTGTGAAACTGTGGTTACAAAACTTATTGAAGAAGGTTTGTTATAAAAATTGAAATTTTCTTAGAAAATCAAAATAAATTTTATTGAATATTTAAAGGAATGCCTGAAACATTAGCAAATCATTTTGGTCATATATTTATTCGTGATCCACTTGTGATTATGGATAGATTTCTTCATCCAACTGATGATACAAATTCATATCATTTTGAAGTTCGTTACAATTCTTTTTAGTTTTTCTTACATTATTAAAATAATTTTTAGAATTTAAACTCTCTTGTATGGAATACTTTACGATTAAAACCACCACCATTGGATGATGATAAAATGGGATGGAGAGTTGAATTTCGACCTATGGATGTAAAAAACAATTTTTTTTCTTATTTTATGTACAAATAAAATTATATTTATAATTGAATAGATTCAAATGACTGATTTTGGAAATGCTGCATTAACTGTTTTCTTAGCATTAATGACAAGAGTTATTATAACTTATGGTCTTAATTTAACAATTCCAATATCTCAAGTTAATGAAAATATGAATAGAGCTCATCATCGTGATTCAACACGCCAAGAAAAATTTTATTTTCAATCTACTACTGGTGTAACTGAAATGTGTATGAATGAAATTATAAATGGTACAAATGATTTTCGTGGTCTTGTTCCACTTGTAAGACAATATATTAGTGAACGAGAAGATATTGATGCTGATACAAGATATACTATTGAACAATATCTTTTACTTGTATCAAAACGAGCTGCTGGTTAGTTTTTTATTCTATTTATTCTATTTTACTTTCTTTATTTTGTCTTTTCAAGGTACTTTATTAACAAATGCTTCATGGATAAGACAATTTGTTCTTTCACATCCATCTTATAAACAAGATTCAATTGTATCAGAAGAAATTCAATATGATCTTCTTAAAAAAATAGAACAAATTTCAAATGGACGTGAAGATTGTCCACAAATAAAACATCCTAAAATGGAAACACATACGGAGTTACATGCGCATTAAAAACAAATATGTTTTAGTCCTTGTTTTTTTTTATATTTGTGAGATGTCGCTTTTAATTAATATTAAAAACGAATAAAGTATAAGATTGGTTATCGCTACATAATTGCATTTATCATATATCAAATAACGACATAAATAAACAGATAATCATGACTGATTCAGCTCCAATACAACGTTCATCTGAAATTGAAGATTTAACACATTTAACTGATAAAGATAAAAAACATATAGCTGAAGATGCTGAAAAAGGACAATGTGGTACACTTCATCGAAGTGAAGAAATGGAGGATTTAGCTCATGTATCACCACAAGATGCAAATAAACCTTTAATCAATGATCAAACTACTCCACATGTCAAATAATATTAATCAATAAACTTATCAATTTTTGTTTTTTTATCTTAGTAATTTATTTAATCATAAGATATTAATAGAAATAATAAAATATTTAGAATTGTTTTTTTTCGATTAGGTAAACCTATCTCAATGGGTAGTTTTTAGCGCAACAAAAGTTTAAATTCGTTTTAAATGTATCCTTGGGGTACACGTTTTTCTAAAATATATATGATAGCATTATTCAATTCTCAAGTTTACATGTGTGTATGAATAAATTTCTTTGAGTTCTGTTATACTGTCATTAGATTAGAAAATGTTTTTTTATATATAACCTATTGAAATCAAATTTAGATTGAATTATTAAAAAAAAGAATTCAAGTTTTTATAACTACTTTTGGGAATTGAGTACTGAAATGAATACTAAAGAAAAAAATAATCAAGGCTTTTCGAAGCAATTTCAGATGTGAAACATGAGCAAGCTGGAATAATAAAGTAATTGAATGTTAACAGCTTTTTTTGTAAGTACAGCTATCAGAAATATTTTGAAAAATAACATAATCATTATTTTTGTATCTCAATATACTGTTAAAAATACGAAACTGTTGTCTTATTTTCTATCCCACAAGTTTTTTATCAGCTGCTATATACTTTTTCTTTTTATACTAGCTTGTGTTTCCTATCATTCATTTCTACATAGAATTCACATTAACACTAAATATTTGCAATTATTTTCTTTCAATTAATACTATCATATCATCTTGAAAATGATGGAAATATAGGCACGCGGATGTCGGTTAGATTGTGAGTTATTGAAGCGAAAGAAATTATTAGAGCTCTATTTATTTTCACCGCTCATAATCATGATCATACGTATCTGTGCTATTTTTTATATGGTATTCCGATGAAAGTGTTTTCGCATGTTCTACTACCGAACCTAACAATCTAAATTTCTTGTGGTTTCTATAATTTTATTGTTCAATTTGTCTTTAAAAAACATTTAATTCTTGTTCGGAATAGACAAATATAAAACTTAGGCTTAGTCTTGCAAAAAGTGTTCTACTACTAATGTTGAAAATGGGTGACTTTCGTTCAGTAAATCAGATATTTTGAAATATTTAGATTGATATTCTCGTATCCACCAAATGAAGATTAAAATCAATAAAATATATTTTAGAAGGACAAACACTGATGACGATCAAATAAAATTTTATATTACAGAAATCGAAGAAATACATAGCTTACTCGATAAAAAGAAAAAGTACAAGTTAAAATTGTAGTTAACAGGGTAACAATAACAATAATGAATTAAAAATGAATACTACCAGCAGCAAATATGTTGAACATAACATATACATGCAAAATTACTGTTGTCAAAAAGATTATTAGAAAAATATAACGATTATCATAAGATGAAGCCATTCACACGATATTTTGAATAGTAAAAACATTCTTAGAATCTATTACAAAATACTCACATTTCGACATGTATCAAAAATAAATCAAATCTAAATCGTGAATGTGTTTTTCTATTAATACATAATAGTTAGGCAAATGTAGAAAAAAAATATTCTTTTCGTAAACAAAAATCTTTCAATAAACTTTATTAAAAGTAGTATCTCCTTTTCAGAGATGAAAACATATTTTTATACAGAAAAATTATAGTTTTGCTTATTTCACTTCCAAATGCTTTGACTAATTAAGCTAGAGTTTTTCTTCTAATAGCTATTAGAATTAGATTAAAGTGTATTATTCGTTATTTATTTGCAAAATTATTACTTAACTGATACTTGCCAGACATAAAAAAACAGCAAATTTTGTTTCAAAGAATATATATATACTATTTCACGACGATCCAGTTTCTGGAAGTAAATCCATTCTGAATTACTGATGATTTTGAGGAATTTCGTGTGATTTCGTCCCATATTTTAAGGCAAATATTAGCTTGTGTCACATATTCTATTCGTTTACTACAATGTATTAAGTCAGTAGATTTCAAAAGGTCAAATATAATACATCATGGAAAGGAGACAACAGCTAACTCTTATAAGTCTTCTATATATTTAACTCCACGATTATCATTGAAGAGATCTTGTACGACTGTCTTGTCAAAAAATATATTTTGCGTCAATAGGTAACAGACAAAAACAAATGCGATTGTTGTGCACATTTAATGTTTGATAGATATAGAGAAATAGGATTCTATAATATAGATGCATATACAGAGAACAATAGTTTCTTATAAAAAAATTTAAAGAGTAGGATACATAACGCGGATAAGTTTCTTATAATAAATGGTCTATCTCCAAACTTCTGTCGCCGTATAAACTCATTTAAATCAGTCGATAATTTTACAAGTGTTCGAGGGTCGACGAAGTTCGAAAAATAGTTCATTGTATAATGCTGATAAATCTCTGGGTACGGTGTGATGCTGCTGAGTGACGCTCATTAAACGCTGCAAAATAGTAGTGCCGTGGTTGGTAAGATAACCTCTTGAATTATAGGCGCGAATGTTTTAATATGCCACTTTTTGCACTGCGGCAGCAAAGTATATATATTTATGTGCGTGTGTGTCGATTTAATTCACCAAACACCCATTGAGTACCAATGATTACTACACTACTAACAGAAAGCGAAAACCTAATGTATCAAATACAAAAAATCGTTTTGTAATTATACTCGATTATACTTGCGCTTTATCAAAGCACTCGTGTCTACCTTCAAAGTATAACTTGTACTATCAATCTTCGCAGGATGTTTAATACAATGATTCACACACTTGACATTCATTATAAAATTCTTTCAGTCGATGATAGTCGATTTATCCTTAATATCAGTGACAATGAATATCTGGAAATTAATATTCTCTGACCAGTAGTATACATGGTATCGATTTGGGAGGAAAGTGTTGTCTTAACCAGTTCGGCTAGGTTGGCAGTTGCCTTGTCTACTGATCGCGAGATCCTGAACAATAATACCCAAATAACAATTATTATGTTTTTTATTAAGAATTTCTATTAAGATAGGTCCATGTGATGCCACCAATTGACAAAACCTAATCATATCATCTTAGTCAAATTTTAATTTAACCCAATTCCGATAATAAATATCATTAAAAGCTAAGAGAAAAGAATAAGCCATTGAAAGCAAATAAATGAAATATGATATAAAGTAATATAAATTTATTTTTGAATAATCATATTTTATTTTGAATTTCGAAAGGCCTCTTATATGTGATACAAAACAGAGAGTAAGAGAGAGTTAGTATCATTTCAAACAAGGAACACAATGGGTGATGTCCTACTGATATTAAGAGAAGACAGGGTGTGGAGTAAATAGTGGTCATATTACGTCAGTACATTGAATGTTTTAGTATAAACAAACTATCACGTGTCAAATTTATGTGAAAGAATAATATTGAAACCAGTGGATACAATAAGAGAAAGAAAACATATAGACTGAAATAAGTATTTATGCATATACTCTACTTTCAGTATATCTATCTCTATATATCTTATACATTGATTGTGCACACTCATTAAATTCCTTTTCTTTCCTGTCATTGTTTATTGGTGAAATGTGTCTATTCTGAAGAAATATCCTCATTTGTTCACAAAAAAGATATATTTTATTATCTGAAATGATTTGGGCTCTGTGGTTGATACAGGCGGCTCAACCGTCTTCACATTGTGTAAGAAATGTGGCATTAATTCGAATCTGTCGATTGATCCGTTTCATTATACATGTATCTTGTGATTATACATTTTGAAAACCATTGGTCTTTGAGCGGTTCAGTTCGCATATGCATATACGTAGATTTTGTTTAAAATCAATAGGAATCTAAGGACATCTATAGAACCAAAGCGATACATTTTGAAATGTTGATATACAGGACACGTCTACATGTATATTAGAAGATATGTCAACATGACAGCTGCATATCATACAATATATTGACATGCTCTGAAACAGTCAGTAGAGAGAAATATCAAAGAGAATGTGCTTCTTGAACCCTAAATATCTGCGAAACAGTACGTTTCTTTAGGTATATTGAGTTCTTTCGATCTGATATTGTTGACAAGTGTGTTTTGTTTTTGATTATTCATCTATTTGATATATTAGATAACAGACTTGAACAATACATAATTGATTGCACTATTACACTTCAAATGAATAAAAACAAAGACTTTTTTTTACAAATCGATTTGAACCATAGATATTTCAACCTCGAAGTCTCATGAAGTCTTGAAAAGTACTTTTCTCTATTCTATTCTATTTAACTTAATTCACGTTAGCACATAATAAAGCAGTACAGTTAAATAATTATGCTTTGAGTACACAATATATTCAGTAATCTCATTTTGTGTGACCAGCACTACATTTACAGAGCAGTTTTTGAATATCCAAATGTTCAAATTTATTAAGTATTATTATGACTGATGAAATTACATATAACAAACGTAAATTGATACATAAGGAAATTTAATTCGATATAGATATTACAAGCATACTAAAAATAACTTTCAGCATTCATCTTATAGTATGTAAATCTTAAAAAAAATTAGTAACATCCTGTGTTTGTATAAGTACTAAGATAATTCTATTAATAATTAATTGCATTTCCTCTATCGTTACAAAAGGGCATTCGGAATGTTTTTTCCGAATAAATCGAGTAAGTTAAAACATTTATACTCTATTATTATGTGATGGCATTCAGTGCAGATTTTAAAATTAGATTTTAATAGACCTCTAGTTTTTTTGAGAGAAAATAGGATAAAAATAAATTCTCTTAACATTTCATTATAATGAGCGATAAAAAAATCTAATCAAAAAGCGTTTTTTGGAAAAGAAAATATGTATTCTTATTATGATAATTGAATATAATAATAAGTCAGTCAGACAATCACATAACTTTATGATAAAAATTAATTTTCTTATCTGAAATATTTTATTCTTAAATATATCCAATGAATAAAACAAGTATAGCGATATATATATATTATATACATCTATTTTATAGCGACATCTTCCAAAAGACAAAGAATAAAAGGAGGACAAGGCACACCGTGATGTATCAACATGGCTGAATTTGTTTAGTTAATTGATTAAAAAAAATAGTCCCTAATGATTCTTCACAATAAGATCGCTGTGATCTATTCATTAACAATTCTCAATGATGATCAAATGAATTGGTTATTTATTTTTAATAGAATTGAATGATTAAAATTTCTCTACATTAACGTATAATAAACAAGTGATAAATATTTCCAAGTTGTTTATTTACTTTATTTGTCATTGAAATGATTATTTATATGATGTTATTTCTTATGAAAGTATTCGACGGAAGAATATGAAAACATATTTAACAATAAAATTCGGGTTAAAACAATGAAATAAAAGAAGAATTTAACTTATTTATTTTTTCAAGGTTCTTTTAAATAACACGAGCCTTCAATTTTACTTTATGATGAATAATTATGACAACAACGGAATATTTCAAATTCAGAATCAATTATTAAACTTTTCTTTTTCTAGATTTTATTCAAATAATTAAATTAATAACGGGTAATCAAAATTATCCCTGTTTTTCATTTTATGAAGATTTTTTTTTTTATTTTTGTTTTTTTTTGGGCTTTTTTTTTCCTCTATTTTTAGATTTTTGTCTCCTCTTTTATTCTATCCAAACTTTCGCTGTGACTAAGCGAGTCTACAAAGCCGCTCCTAATTATGTGAGTTAGAAAATAGAGAATTGATATGAGAGAAAGAGAGATTATTCCATTTTTCTCCCAAATCGCGTTTTATTCTTTTTTTTTAAACAAACTCTCACTCATTTTTTAAAACAATAAAAAAAATAAAAATTTCAAAAAAGAAAATGTTATTTTATTTCTTATTCAAGGGATAACGGTGCGACCAAACCCCAACAACCAGCAGGCAATGCTAATGAATACACAGGAGCAGAATATTCATCGCAACAAAGCAATGAACAAAGAAATGAATCTTACCCTCAACATCAAATTTCAACAACTGTTACAACAAATCGACCATCAATGAACTCTTATGGAGGTGGACAATCGATAAGTTCTAATGGAAGCAATGCCAATCAATCAGGAAGCAGTTCATTTAAATTAAAACAACAAAGAAATCACGCAAATAATCGTTATGATCCGTTGGGTGCTCAATCGGCAAGTTATCAAGCACGAAATGCTTCTCAACTTCAAGGTCAATGGAATAATGGAGTTGCTGCTGCTGTTGCTGCAGCACAATCTTCATATGGAGCATTTGGTAATCCATTTGGTTTACCACATCATTATCCACAACAAGCAGCCGATATGTATGCTGGATATTATGGTACACCACAACAAACTTCATATGGACCACCAGGTGCTCAACATGCTGTTTATGGTGAATATGGACAACCAGTTATACCACCGGAATCTCCTAAAGGTGGTCATGTTGTTTATGTTTATGGTATTGGACAACGAGCTACACAAGAAGAAGTTTATGCTTTATTTCAACCATTTGGACGTGTTCTCCGTGTCGATATTATTATTGATTTTAACACTGGTTTATGCAAAGGGTAAATTTATTTTTTCCCTCCTATGTATTATTTAAATATATTTATTATTTTATTTTATTTAGATATGCATTTGTCGCCCTGGAACAATATCAAGAAGCTCAAATGGCCGTTCAAAGTTTAAATGCAACTCCATTCCATGGACGACAATTACAAGTTCGATTTAAGACATAAATACGTTTCTGTTTTGTGTTCTTTTTTTTTCTTTATCAATAAATCTGATCGTTCCAATCTCGTGCTAGAGGCTAAAAGAAAGGAAAAAAATGCCGGATACGAAAAAGGATGTGTATTTCTCTCATCCTTTTTTTTATTCGATCAGAATAACATACTGATGATGTCATCTGCCCACTTGTCCGTCTATGATCGATCGACTCATCGGGTATAAACTTGTTTCCTTTTCTTCTCTCTCTTAAACCCGATTAGTCGTATGATTCGCGCTCGTTTATAATTGACTATATATGATTCTAAAAGAAGCATCAATGAATGCGTCCTGGAATCACTAGTACTAAAACATGTTGCTCCTTATTCTTGCTCTACTTATATCGATTCCACTTGTCTCGCCATCTTATCACATTCCGAAACTTGGACGATATCACACATTTCTTCGAATTGGTAAACGACATTTTACTGAACCTTGTATTGATAGTTCTTTGTGTTCATCAAATCAACAAAGTTTGTAGTATTTATATTCTTTAAAAACTTCATTTATTTATTATTATATTTTAATCAAAAAGGAATTCAAACAAAGTGCGTTATACTTTTCAATCGGAATTTATGTTGGCCACAATTAAATCAAGGAAAAACAATGAAGGAAGAAGATTCGAGACAATATCGACACAATAATCGCATCTTTCGAGATAATACTTGACCAAATTTTTCTTTTTTTTTCTCCTTTGTAGACAAATGTCTCTTTAATAAAACCCCAGCTTAAAATAAACACACTCAAAGTATTCGGACGTTTAAAATACTATTGATTATCTGTTTAAAAATAATATATTAAACAGTATAATAAAACTATCAAATATAATAAATATCAAGAACAAAGATATAGAACTGATGACGTTCACATTTTTGATCATATTAAATAATCAAATAAATAAATGAACCGAAAAATAGATATAACTATAGATCAAATAATTCAATTTTGTACTATGACATCAAACAGTATATATTTAATAATTTACATACAACAAATATATTCATACTGAAATAGATATTAATTGAAATCTGTTAGAGCCGAACTTTTTTTTTTGGAGTTAACTTATAAAAAGGTTTTCGTATGTTACATATAATGATCTCGATTATCAATTGACGTACTTGATTGGTTTTTTTACTAAAACAATGCTATATAGTTAATAAATTCTAAATAATTTATGATTCTCAAAAAAAAAAGAATGATTCTATCTTTTATTACAAGGACAAAGATAAAATTTTGACTTTTGAGTAGGATGTATATAGAGTTATAGTAGCAAATTTCTTTTATTCAATGACGTCAAGTGCATTAAATTCGATTGCGTAATGTGAAGTTAATTAGATTAGAAAATGATAAATGTTTTAGTAAGCGTTCTCTTCTATCAAAACTGGATAATCTGTACATTATATATATATATGTAAAGATGATAAAATATGAATATTTACTTTTATGTGTAAAATATTTAATTAAATTAAAAAATCAATTCTTTTCTTTAATATTCTATTGTAATCAATGAAAAACAAAATAAAAAGTTAAGCTAATCTTTATTTATCTTTTCTTTTGTTTAAAAAAAATCCGTTAGTTTTTTTATTCTATAAAAGTAATGCACTCCAACGTTTTTCTTGATTATTTCCTGTTGGTGTTACTGTATCAAATACAGCTGATATACGTTTATTAAATTTTGATGTATTGTCATGAAGATAATCCACAAATGATCCGTTAATTGATTGAACTAAGATACGAGTTTTTTCATTATCAAGTGGTACATGAGCAATGAAACGACATTGATTAACACTATCTAACCATAAATGATCACCAGAAACAATACCCGATAATTCATTGATTTCATTATCACCTGAAATACGAACAACTAAGACATTATTTAATCCTTGATTTTTATCAACAACCATTTCCATCTAAATTTCAAAGAAAAACAAAGTTCGTATAGAAAGAAAAGAATTTTTGTTTTTTCAATTAATTTACTTTAACTTCGAATAAATGACGAGCATTAACAAAATTAACACGATCATTTCCTTTTTCATGTAAATATCCATAAGAAAAATAAATTGCAAGTGCCTCAAATAAATGACTTGAGACTGTGTCTAAAATAAAACAAAAAACAAATTTGTTCATTTGCGAAAAAAGAAATACGGAAAATTAACTTACGATTAAATGAAAGTGATATTTGAGTTGGAGTTGATGTAGATGATGCTCCAACAATTTGTCCTAATCGTTTACTAAGTAATAAAATAGGTCGATTACCTTGTCCAAATTGAGATGTCACTGCTGAACCATTAACAACACCAATTAATGAATGTCCTTGTTTAAAATCAATTATTTGTTGAGCTAATTCAATAGCTACACGTTTTTGAGCTTCACGAGTATTTGCACCTAAATGAGGTGTACAAATAACTGATGGATGTTGAATAAGTTTTAAATCAGTTGGTGGTTCTTCTTCAAATACATCAAGTGCTGCACCACCACATTGACCAGAATTTAAAGCATCAAGTAAGGCTTTTTCATCAATTATTCCACCACGTGCTACATTTACTAATTTAACACCTCGTCTACATACTGATAATACTTCATTATTGATTAAATCTATTCAGAAAAACAAAATTCGAAAAAAAAAATATTCTTAATAGAATAAAATAACTAACGATGAGTTCCTTGCATAAGTGGAACATGTACTGTTATATAATCAGCTAATGACCAAATATCTTTTAATTCAAAAAATTCTACTCCAAATGTTATACTCTGTTCACCAGTTATAATTGGATCATATCCAATTGTCTAAATGAATAAGAGAGAAAAAGAAATATTATTATTATTAATTTTTAATTAATTTAATAAATCTAACTTTCATATTAAATGATTGCATACGTTTAGCAACTTCTCGTCCAATTCTACCTAAACCTATAATTGCTAATGTTTTTCCATTTAATTCTTCACCCATAAATGTTGATCGTTGCCATGCACCTGATTTTAATGAACTACAAGCATTTGGAATACTTCTATATTTACAAGAGAGACTAGTCTTTTAAAGATATTAATATTTGTTTAAGATCAAACCTAGCTAATGAACAAATCAAAGCACATGTATGTTCTGCTGCTGAAAGAGTATTTCCACCTGGAGTACTAAATTATAAAAATAAATACTTTTTTTTGTATTAAAATAAAGAAAAAAAAATGAATATACTTCATAACTAAAATTCCATGACGAGTTGCAGCTTCTGTATCAATATTATCTGTTCCTGTACCAGCTCGTCCAATTAATTTTAAACGTGGTGATCCTTCAATAACAGCACTTGTTACTTTAGTTGCACTTCGAACAATTAAAATATCGACTTCCTATTATGAAAATTTAATTTTAAAATCTAATTATAATTATAATAATAGTACTTGAACACGTTTAATTAATTGTTCTTGTGGTTGTTTAGCTAATTTAATATCTTTTTCAACTGAAAATCCATTAGCTACTAACATATCAACACATTGTGAATCAACATCATCTGTGATTAAAACACGATTCATATCATCGTAAGAATCCATTGTTGCTCTACAAACAGAAAATAAAAAGTATCGTGTGACAGATGTTTACTTTATTTGTTTATATATATATCTATCTATGTATGTATGTATGGGTAAAATATATTTATCAAGGATCAATTTCGTTTAATCGACGAATGAAAGAAAAGAATCTAACCTTTTCCTCTTTTCTTTTGTGAATCATTTATCAATTTCTTTTTTTTCGTTTTATATCAATCTTATATGTATGTACATTGCACTGAAGACACCGCTTACCACCAAAACTATTTTTATCTTCATTTACATTAACCTCTTGTTATCTCTAATGACACTGCTTTTTGTTGCAATTATCTTACGCGATGCGCTTTTGTACTTATACAATATCAATAAATGTTTATACAAGAAGATATTAACTAATCGATGAAAAAAAGACCAACTTTCTTTTTGTTTAATTTAAAAAAAAAGAATTATCTTATCTTTTAAATGAAAATGAAAATTGAGATTAAAATCAATGTATGTTCTATTTGTATCTCTAGTTCGTTTAGTATATATATATATTTTAGAATAAAAGTTAAACTAGTAAAATACGTGGGGTGTGGATGAAAAATATGCATTGAAGGTAATAATCTTATTTTGATATTACTTTATTTATTTGATTCATGATCATCAACATACAGAATAATCAGTTAATTATGTAAATGTCGTATGAATAATTTGATATTAATATCACGATATTCTTATATCGAAATTATACAATTTTTAGATGATAAATTATTTATTAATTGACTTTAGAATAAAAGTATCATATAATCGAAATTTTATTTAATTTTGAAAAATATAAAACGTTTTTTTTTACTATTTCAAACATTGACTTTATAGTAATTTTACTATTATCCCTATAGAATGAAGATTATCATCATTTATTATCTTTCTGATCTTTTTTTTTTGGCTTAGCTTGTCATAGTAAATAAATGTTTTTATAAAACACATAAATCATCTTTTATCATATGTCAAAACATTGTATGTTTAAAATACAATATAAAGATAATAGGAAAATAATAAGAACTATTCTTATGTGAATAAATCAAAATCATAAAATGTGTTAGTTTTTCATTCTAAAATATAGTCTACTATTGATGGCATAGAATTCAAATGCATTTTTGTAATGGAAATAAATTTTCTTTTATCTTGATTTATTCGATGATGTAAATGTTTTTTCAACATGATCAAGAATTTGAAGTGCAGCTTCTGGAATACGTGTTCCTGGTCCAAATATAAGTTTAACACCTTGATCATATAATTGTTGATAATCTTGTGGTGGAATAACTCCACCAACGGTAACAATAATATCACTTCGACCTAATTCTTTAAGTTTTTCAATTAATTCTGGAACAAGAGTTTTATGTCCGGCGCCTAATGTACTAACACCAACAATATGTACATCAGCATCAATTGCTTGAAGTGCAACTTCTGATGGAGTCTACAAGAAGAAGAAGAAGAAGAAAATATATGTTTCGATAAAATATGAAATTAAAAAGAAATCTTACAGCAAATAAAGGTCCAATATCAACATCAAATCCAAGATCACTAAAAGCAGATGCAATTACTTTTGCACCACGATCATGTCCATCTTGTCCAACTTTGGCTACAAGTATTCGTGGACGTCGACCATCAATTTTTGCAAATTTCTATTTTTTATAGAAAATTAGAAATAAAATAAAATAAAGAAATAAAAACAAACCTCGACTCGATCAGTAACTTGTTTAAGTTCCTCATTATTTTTTCCATCATTAAATGTTTTTCTATATGCTCCACTAACAAGACGTGAATCAGCAACATGACGAGAGAATACATCTTCTAATGCTTGAGAAATTTCTCCCAATGTACAACGAGCACGTGCTGCTTCAATACTTGCTTCAAGTAAATTACCTGAAGGAGTTTTTTCACGAGCAATTTCTCGTAATTTTTCAAGACATTGATTAACTTTGGATTCATCACGTTGTTGTTTAACTTTTTTAATTTTATCAATTTGTTGTTGTCGAACTTGTCGATTATCAATTTGAAGTACTTGAATTAATTCTTCTTTTTCTAATTTATATTTATTAACACCAACAATTGTTTCTTTTCCATCATCAATCATAGCTTGTCTTTTAGCTGAACATTCTTCGATTTTTAATTTTGGTATACCAGCAACAATTGCTTTTGACATTCCACCCATTTTTTCAATTTCATCAATTAATTCACGAGCTTTAGAATAAACTTCATCAGTTAATGATTCCATCATATAAGATCCAGCCCATGGATCAATTATCTATTTAATACAAAAATATTTATTTGACAAAAGTTTTTGTTTTTTGAAGAATTTATCTAACCTTTGGAATGCCAGTTTCTTCTTGTAAAATAATTTGAGTATTTCGTGCAATACGTGCACTTTGTACAGAAGGAAGAGCAAGTGCTTCATCAAATGAATTTGTATGTAAAGATTGTGTACCACCAAAAACAGCTGATAATGCTTCTAATGTTGTACGAATAATATTATTATATGGATCTTGAGCTGTTAATGACCATCCAGATGTTTGACAATGACAACGTAACATCATTGATTGAGCTTTTTTAGGTGAAAAATTTTCTTTCATTAATTCAGCCCATAAACGACGAGCTGCTCGAAGTTTTGCAATTTCCTTTAAAATAATATAAGTAATTTAGAAATCATCATAAATAAAAAAAAAACTAACCATGTAGAAATTCATTCCAATACCCCAAAAGAATGAAAGACGTGGTGCAAAATCATCAATAGCTAAACCAGCTTTCAAACCTAAAAGAATAATATACATATATATATTTATTAAATTTCTATGAATTATAATTAACCAGTTCGACAATATTCAAGGCCATCTGCAATTGTATAAGCTAATTCAAGTGTGGCTGTTGCACCAGCTTCTTGCATATGATAACCACTTATTGATATTGAATTAAAATTAGGCATATTTTTTGATGTATATCGAAATATATCAGCAATTATTCTCATTGAAGGTTCAGGTGGATAAATATATGTATTACGTACCATAAATTCTTTTAAAATATCATTTTGAATTGTTCCAGTTAATTGAGCTTGTTTTGCTCCCTATTATATAAATAGATATATCGAATTATAATTAATTAAAAATGAATTACTTGTTCTTCAGCTGCAACAACATACATAGCAAGAACAGGTAGAACAGCACCATTCATTGTCATTGATACTGATATTGTTGAAAGTGGAATTGAATCAAATAATTGTTTCATATCTTCAACAGTATCAATAGCAACACCAGCCATACCAACATCACCACTAACACGTTCATTATCAGAATCATAACCACGATGTGTTGCTAAATCAAAAGCAACGGAAAGACCTTGTTGACCAGCAGCTAAATTAGCACGATAAAAACGATTCGATTCTTCTACTGTACTAAAACCAGCATATTGACGTATAGTCCATGGTCGTTGTGCATACATTGTTGGGTATGGACCTCGTGTATAGGGAAATACACCTGGAATTTCTTCTTTACTTTTAACATCATCAGATGTATATAAAGGTTTTAATTTAATATCTTCATATGTTGTCCAATTGAGTGAATCTAATGGAGTTTTTTTTAATTGTTTTGTTGCAGCTTTACTCCATTCAGAATGTAATGATGATAAATATGATACCTAATTAATAATAAACAAATTTGATGAATAGGATGAATTTGAAAATATCTACTTGAGATCGTTCATTAATCCTTAGCGTTAAAAGCCGAGATCGGACCGATAATAGTTGTCGGTACATAGATTTAACTTGATCTTTTCAATAATAATGAATCATGAAGAATATTTTCAACTTAAATTCATATTTATATTCTCCAATTATTATGTCCGTTTGAATACTGACATCTATTCCCGATTATTTTTTCTTTCTTCATCTGTTTATTAAGACATCTATATTCATATTTATTTTTATCATTGATTTTTCTAGATAAATTAGTTTATCAAAATAAATAAAAAGAATATTTTGAAATAAGTCATATAGAAGAAATAATTTTTCTAATTTCTTTATTTCAATATCTTTTAACGAAAGCACACTAAGTGTTCCATGAAACTGTTGAAATTGTCTTTTTTAATAATCAATTGTTTCGGACGAGAACAAGATCATTATTGTCGACTTCTTAACCTTTTTTCCAAATTCTACAAGTATAATATAACGAACTACATTCGAAATCAGAATATATTTCTGATATTTTTTATTCTATAAAGAAACGTAGAAGCAACAATGGATTCGATTTAATTAAAATGTTTTTAAATGTGTTTCATTTATTCGCAAAATAATACATAAAACTTGTGCGATTAATTATTCGAAAATCTCTGTTGTTCAGCTTTGGTAGTTTTAGCAAGTTCTCTTACATCTTATAATTTTATGTTAAAGTTCATAATATTTTACACACCTGTTCATTTATTACAGAGTTTGACTTGACTAGGATGTATCTTTATGAGATTTTCATACTTCAATAATGTGTATTATATAGACGAAATTCGAAATCAAAACTGTATGGATGTGAGTATAAATATAGACTATTTTAGTAAATGATGAACGCAATAAAGTTTATACTTTTGAGTTTAAAATATAGTATGAATCATATTTTAAACTTATTAAATAGAATGAGTATATTTTTAGAAAAAGGAATATGTATTCTGTTTTTTTAAAAGTATAAATAGAGGGGAAAGAGTATTTAAAAAAAAACTAAAGCTATTTAATCATTACTTTATTTCTTTTCTTATATTAAAAACATGAACACGTGAGCACGTTTTTTCTTTCTTCTCTCATTCTAGAATTTTTTCCTATGAATAATTTCATGTCTACTAGAAGCATATAAATAGGAGAGACAAAAACGCAGTTTTTATACAAATCTTATTTTATTCTTATTATTATCAATACAAAACAATTACAATATTACTGTAAGTAAATGATCATATATATAATAGACAATTTATAATTATAATTTTAGAAAAATGAGTGCCATTAAAGCTGGTATTGAAAAAATGCAAGAAGCTATGGAACAAAAAAAAGCGAATGATAAACAAGAAAAAGCAAATGATCCACATGCAAAACCAAGTGATCGAGAAGATGCTCAATTCGAAGCAAATAAGGCTGCAGCTAAAGCTGCTGAACATCATGCTAAAGCTGAACAACATAAAACCAAACATGCCAATAGTTAAATCTGAAATGACATTTCTTTATCTGTATGAATATCTTTTTGTATATATAATTCAGCTATTAAATATGTAAATAAAATAAACTTTTCTTTAAAATCTAAATGAAAATTGCGTCAGTTCGATTGATTGAAAAACACTTTATCATTGAAATCAATGTTATTCTATATGCATAAAAAAATCTGCGAAGACGTTTGATAATAATGTTAATATTAATACCTTATTTTTCTCATCGTTTTTTTGTTTTCAAGAAAAAAGTTAAAAGTATAAATGACGATGAAACAATAAAAAAACATATCATTAAACATGATTATATCAATGAAATTATTTTTTCTAATTTAAAAAGGATTTTCTTTTCCAGTCTTATTCTCAAATGACATATCTATTATTATACTAAGACATGTACAACTGATAGAGCGCTTATTTAAAATGAAGAAGAAAAAAAATGAAGATCATTTTACATTTCATTGACGCAAATAATGGTTCGTATTTTCATTTTTATCACTCTTGTATTAGTTTATGTGTCTTGTCAACAATCAGAAGACACTGCCACAGTTACCATTGATTTGAATACATCACAATCGTGGTATGAAGAAACAACTGAACAATCAGTATTAGAACTAAGTACTAATATCGATGTGACAAATTCATGGCAACAACAAACAACTGAGCAGCCATCATTAGACTTGAGTACTGATGATGTCAATAATACAGAATCATGGGAAAATTCTACAAATGTAACAACACAACAAACAACTACTATTAGTACAACTACATGTTCACCAAGTATCACACCTGATATGCTTGAAATAGTTAAGAAAGAAATAATTGATTCAATTTATGTTGCTATTTCAAGTGAAATAACTAGTAAATTAGAAGCAATGGAAGAACGTCTATCGACATTAACTTGTTCAAGTAATCAACCTTCAACACCTATAGAATTAGATTGGCAAATATATGAAAATCTTCAAATTCCATTAAATGGTTGGTTACGTGTTTTTGATCGACCATATAGTCACAAGACTCGTATAGATGATCTTAATCAAATTGCTGGTATATGTCATAAACATGTTCTTGTTGCTGCTACATATAATCAATCGATATCATTAGCAGCTGTTGGTCCAGCAAGTATATTAACATTAAATACAACATGGAATGTACCACAACAATTTGGTCAAGTTTATTGGTATCGTACAAGTGGAAAATCGTTTGGCTTTTCTCCAACCGTGACTATTCGACAAACGTCAGCTGATAATGCAGATCTTGATAGTCCTTTACGTCTTAGTTGGTTATTAGATCAGAATATGGGTGGTTATAGATCTGGTAGTACACGTTCACTTGCTGAGAATTCACTTTGGCATAAAGTTATTTATTGCAACTAATATTCTTCTTTTCCAAATAAAAGTTTTTATGTAAGGATTTAAATGACTATAAGAAATAAAATATAATACAATATACTCATTGTGTTTTATTTTCGATTATTTCGACAAAATTATTCTTATTTATATTTATCTGTGTTATAATAATAAACACAGAACTAAATATATCATGAAATTCTTTGTGAATGTTAAATGTACTTTTGTGACATCATAAAATTGAGTGAAATTAAAAGTTTACGATATAGGAGACATCTATTACTATAAGATATGATTATGATGAAATAAAATGTAGTCTTATCATTCATTGCATCACATTTAGAGATATATATTAAGAAAGAGAACAGAACTAGTACTATTAATATATTTAAATAGTAATCGGTAAGGATATCAACAAGTTTTGAAATTTTTTATGCGCAATACAGGATAAAGTTACCAAATAATTATATTTTTGAAATAGGTATTTTTCGTACAATTAAATCTAATTGTTGACTGGATATTATATCTTTGTGTGTAGAATGATGTAAGATAAGAGAAAAGATTAGTAATGTTATTAAGATAGAATCTTATTTTAATCTGCCAATGATTTTTAAAAAAAATTGTTTATTTTTTCATTTATTCAGAAGAATAATGTGGTATCCTGATAATTTTACATTTGTTCCTGGTGAAACACCATTAACATCGATTCAATTTCTAGTATTTATTCCAATTGTTCATTTTATCATCACACGTATTTTAGAAATCTATATGTCTAATCGTATTAAGCCAGTCAATGTGCGTCATATTCAACGTTACAATAATTTGTTAATTGGTATATATTCAGCAATAACTTTTGTACTTATAAATATTTTAGCGTATCGAGATGGTCGATTCTCTTCTTGGAATCAATTAGTATGTCATCGACCTACTCCTACAGGTGTTTATGCTCTTCTCTGGTATATTTTTTATTTAAGTAAACTATGGGAATTTATAGATGTTTACTTAGTGATATTAAATAAAACACCAGTACTTATGCATTTCCGTTGGCATCATCAAACTACACCATCAGTCGTATTAGCTGGTTTACTTGGTGATGTCTCATATGAATATCCAACAATTGTTTCTAATACACTTTTACATACATTTATGTATCCACATTTTGCGGGAATATGGAATGTTCATCGACTTTTGGTTATACTCGGTGCATGGCAATTAGTCGTTGGTCTTGGGTTTAGTGTCTATAGTTTAATAGTTGGTTGTAATGGTTCACTTTATGCTCAAATATGGGGTTTATTGATGTATATTACGTATGCAATAGGTTATCTTAATGAACATTTTCATCTAATCGATCGTCTTAGACTTTTATTTTCGACTTCTTATCGTACTTCGAAAATATCTTAATAGTTCTTCAATTAATAAATTTGATAATTAACATTGAAATATAATAAATAAGAATATTTCGAAATACGATTACTATACCTTACAACGTAATTGTATATATTATATGTATGTTAGACTACCCAAGATACCCTGAAAAAATCAGCTCTAAAAACTCTGATTCACAGGAGTTATTGATGAAACAGTAGCATTAGCGACATGATAATTTTGTTAGTGACCTGACAGAGTACGACTGTGTGAAAAAAAATCTGTTTGAATAACTAAAGAAAAAGTTTCCAATTAATTCTAGATGATATAGATCTATCTTTAGAATTGAGAGGTTATACTGACATAAAAATTCCTGTTCTGAAGACTTATGAGAATCCTAGGGGGTCACTTTTTAAAAAGGAAACTTTATGAAATCGATTTGGCTGAAAATTTCACTATAGATGTAAACTGTATTGAATAAAGATCTCTGAAATTTTGAGATGTTTTTATTATACGATTAGAGAGATATTCACTAATTACTGATTAATAGTCGATCGAAAGAAGAAATATATTTTCATATATCTATGCTAAAATAAACTTTCTAATTAAAATGCTCTTGTAGAGAATTAAGAAGGAATAAGAGAGGTAATTATCATATAATTGCTTCAAATCTTCCAATTTTTTCAAATTGTATTTTAAACAGAAAAATAAAGAATAAATATCTGTTCAATTATCAAGCATCTATAACCAGATGAATCCATAGCTCAATATGAAATAAATATTTTCAGTATGATGTCATGTATAAAGTCAATACCCATCTATATTATATTTTATTTCATCTATTAGTCATTAACAAATGAAATTGTTACAAAAACGTTTTTTTTCACAGTATCGATCTTTTGACTTCATAAAAAACAAATTGATTGTAGTTTTATTCTTGTATCTCTAATTAGTATATTTTTATCTCTTTCATCAACAAAAATAAACTTTTTTTGTACGTAGAACAATAATTATCACATAAAAACCTCGTTTTTATCTTTCATCTATATTTTTCTTTTGACATGGAATTAAAAGCCTATAGTATATCTTCATAACACATTGAGTCGCTTTTCTTTTAACTTCTCACACTTTTATTAAGTAAAATAAATTCCATAATAATATGTGAAACTATCCTTTTTAGCATAAAATTATATGATAAAAGATGTCATGTCTAATTTTTACAGATTAATACTTAGCAATTGTTCATATAATACAAAGAATGTTATCATGGATATATATAACTCAAATTATGGTTATATATCTAGGTATTTTTTTATTTATTTTTAATTTTTTTGGTAGTTTTATGACAATAGTTATTATGTCAACAAAACGTTCATATCGTACAAAACCAAGTACATTCTTTATGTTATTATCCGCAATAGCAGGATGTATTCATTTAATAAATGCTACATTAGCACGTATTCTTACAACAGGTTTCGATATTGATTTAACACGTACATCAAGTGTATTATGTAAATTACGTCAATTTGTTTATATGATAGTTCCTGGTTTTGCTATAACCTGTGACTGGTTATCAACCATAAATCAATTTTTAGTTACATCTCGTAGTGTTCGTCTTCGTCGGTTAAGTAATATGAAATTGGCTTATCGTACAATTACTATCGTTATCATTTTTTGGATCGTTCCTGGTATACCAACACTCATATTCGCCAATATAAAGTTAGTGAATTTATTCAATTAGAAGATATTCAAAATCTCATATTTAAATTTAATTTTTATTTTTAGATCTGGCACATGTATGATTGATAATTTTATTTTACAAATTTATTATGTTTATGTTAATACTTGGTCTTTTTATACAACAATTCCAATTATTATTTTAATCATATTTGGTATACTTGCTTATCGAAATATGCGTTTATTAGTAAATGTTCGTCAGTTACGTGGTATAGATCGACAATTAACTTTTATGGTTTGTGCTCAAGTATTGTTGATTGTTATTGGAATTGCTCCATATGCACTCTTTAATATTTATTCAATAAGTACTGCTCAATGGAATAAAGATATTGAACAAAAAAATAAAGAGAATTTTGTTATAAATATGATTGCTCTTATTGGTACGATTGAGTTTGGAGTAAGTTATATTCAATTTCTTTTTCTAATTAATATTTTTAACTATTTAAGGCAAGTTTTTATTTATTTATCATTATATCAAGTTCTTTTCGTCAACAAGTTAAACAATATCTTTGTTGTTGTTGGCCACAAACAAATATTGTACAACCCATAGATATGAATGTTCTACCAATAAATTAATCAATTATTTACTAAAACTATAAACTTATGTTGTGTTGTCACTATTGTCTTATTCGCTGTTATATTGCTCCAAAGATGGACTAGTCAAGTCAATTTTTGACTTGATTTGATTTCATATATAAATTTCTGAATCAGTCATAACTTGACTTGACTTGACTTAACCTGTGACTGATGAAAAAATCCAAGTCAAGTCAGGCTTGGACTAATAATTTTTATAGTATCGTTTGATTATGATATATTTGATTTCTTCTTGTCAAGAAAGAGAACACCATATATCATCATTTGTAAACAGGAAAATGATTCATAAGCGACATTTTTTAGTTTAAATTATTTCAGATTAAACTTGTTCGATTTATTTTACATGTTGTCGATATTGTTCAATATGTCTAGATATATACGTATTGAAATCATCCTATGATGATGTTTGAACATTTTCCTTTCGTTCTTTAATCGTATATATATATATATATATATAGTTTTTTTCTCGCCTCTCATAGAAGATTTGTTCTTCTCAATCAATCAGACAAATACAAATCATTATGCAAATTAGTCAAAACAAAAAATACTGACAATATCTGCTACTTCCTCTCCAGTAGAAAGAATTTTTAGTCAAAGTGGTTTTCTTTTTCGACAATATCGAGCTAAAATGTCCCGAGAAATATTACAAATGTTGACCATGTTGAAATGCAATAAAGAATTTATATAATTTTTTCTAATAAATTGGATGGGAAAGACTTGGCGTGACTTGGAAAAGTCGCGACTTGCCCATCTCTGTATTGTTCAAGAATTATATATATTAATATAAAAAATATTTCTCCAACGAAATCAACATGAATAATTTATTAAACATTCTTTTTTACTATTCTGAATAATTTAACATAATGATGTGTAATATTTCATTATATTTTAAGTCTCGTATCTTATGGAATCACATTTTAATTTATTATAACAACAATTGATTGACAAATCTTCGATAATATATTCTTAACATGATGATATAATTAGATTAATCGGTAAAACAATTTTTTCGCTAGTGTAAATTATTGAAATTATATTGTATAGGTGAAAGAAAGACTTTCCAATTATAATAAATAATTTATTTATAAATTAATAATATATGCGAGAGTTCACTAGGTTCAGAAATATTTATATAAACCTTCACAATAGATAGATATTTTTTTATGTCGTTTGTTTTCTTTTCTATTTCTATCATATTTTAACTGTAATACATAATTAATTTATTCATTCAGTTAACTTCTATTATTATTTCATCATTGACATATGAAATAATTAATAATAGAACTGAGTATTATAAATATCTTTTTCTCATATTATTAATGTGTAAGCAGATATTTTCGGAAACTCTATATAGCAATTAAATGAATATATAGAAGTTGAATCAAAGAAATTGTATTTTGTAATAATATTATTTTTATTTAAATAAATATTGAGTACTATAGATACAATAAAATCTCAAATGTCGATAATATTTATGAATCAAAATAAAATAGTATTGAAAAATATCAAAGTCAAAATTAACCTTTTCATTATCGGACAACTATGAGATTTCTCTAAGAAGGAATGACAAAGTTTCTGTGAAAATAACGCCATCTTTAGTATATAATATGAGTGATGACATTTATTACTATACTCTATGTTAATTTTCATTGGAATAAACACTTGATAAATCTTCTATCATAGCTTATTATAGATATAATATGACACTTATTATTGTATATAAATAGAGAGAGGTATTTAAAAGTAATTTCTTACAAGTAAATCTAGAAAATAGTTATTATTAGTCTTTGTGTCTATAAAGTACGTATATTTATTTAAACAGTTGTTTGTTGCAACAGGTGTTACATTGTAGATCGAATCAGTGTAATTATACATTATCATTTCTAGATAAGGTCTTAACAACCTAAGATGTTTCCGTTAGTATTCTTTCACGGAAGTCAAGAGTTACTATTGATATGATTAAAATTGTGACAGAATAAGAAAAAATATGAATCATAGAAGGGATGAAATTCGAATGATAAATTTTGTAAGAGAAAACTTTATTTCTTATAGGAAATTACTATTTGTTTCATTCTGTGCACACATCACCGTATTTACAGTCATCAGATGAAATATTTTTTCTGGTTCTATATAACGTATATCCGTTGATAAGAAAGAAAAAGAATGCTTTTTTTTTCTTACCTATTTTACCTTGTTTTTTCTTTTTTATTCTGTTCTATCTATTTCTGTATTCTTTTATAGTATTTCTAGGAAGTACTCAATTGTGAATCGTTTAAATGCAATACAAACCAGAAACTAAAAACATGGTTACGATGAATCCTGCCTACATACTTACTATTCCTAAAGAATTATCACTAACGGAAAATTATGAAATACAACGAACTCGTAAAATTCTAATAATTATACTTGGCGTGTGTCTTGTAAGTTTTTGTTTCCTTTAAAATATCTATTGGTTAAATAACTAAAAATGCAAGATTAGATTATAAATAAGTATAGTAGATCTAAAGAAACCACTCGTGTATTAACAGATAACACAGCATGAGTTAAAAGAAGAGATCTATGTGTGTTGACATATTGTTGTTTTGCATATCAATCTAACAATAATTGATCTATATTCATAGGCACTCTCTGTGGTTGGTACAATTAGTGCAATATCAGAATCGAAATTGGAAGGTGATATCGGTGTTCCTCGACGAAGTTCACAAGGTGGTCATAGTTTTATTTCAATGCTTTATTGTAGTTTTGGAATAATTGTCACTTATCAATATTCTCAAAATGGTTTACGTGTAGTATGTATATTATCTTTTATTTTTAATATAGAATTCATACAAATAAATTTAATTTAATTAGAATTATTTTAATGAAAATTTTTCATTATTTAAATCGGATAAAAATATTCACTAGTCTTTGAAATTCTTCTATTGGTTAATAGTTTTAAATATCTTTAGAAATCGAAAACATACACAATATTGATTATGGTTATTAAGATTATAGGATGTTAGTAAAGCATCTACAATAATAAATTTTTTCGAGTTCTGTTTTGTTTCATGATCTTGAATATTTACATTAATATTCGCCAATACTATTAGAAATACAATTAATATTACTTTCATAAAATATCCAATTTAAAACTATTTTTTCATTTAAATATTTTGATTTTTAGCTTGTGTGTCTAGGCATAATTATGCTTGTTATAATGGGTATTGCAGCTACGATTATTTTGTGCCTTGCTATTGGAGCTGTGGCTTTTCTCAACTATACTGATAACAACGAGAAACAAGCGATGATAGTTGGGGTGTCATTTGGTGCTTTCATTTTCCTTCTTACATATGCTGTTGATTTTATTCTTACGGTATGTATACTAACTCCTCATTCATTTCAACTGATAACATACATTACTTTATAGGTGATCATTGTAAAATTTGCTTTCAAATTGACACGACTTATTGATGGAAATAAACATTTAACTAATCAACGAGTCTAATTATGTATTTATTGATCATCTGACCTATAAATAATTAGGTTTCTGTTAAATTTTGTATAGATTTCTAAGTACAATGTTATTCTTTTTCGATATTTAAATAAATAAATGTGAAAATTCTTTTATCTATCGACAGTAACATAAGCGTATAGCTGTAAATCAATATATCAAAGGAATAATTTTAATTTCACTGCTAGGAAAAGAAACTAATTGATACCGTTAATCATATTATAAAATCTTCCTTTATACTGATTACTTATGCACACATATGTTCTTCTTTCTTCAAAAAAATAAATACTACAATTGATATTACCTTATTTAATATTAAGAGTATCTCATTAATCAACGGAGAATGGTTAGTATATACAAAATAGATGATATATCATTTCGAAAATATAAAGAAAATAAATATATTTAATAATATTATAGTGAGAAATTCTAAGATTTAATTATACATAAAAGAACATTGTATTCAAAAATATATTCTTAAAACTCATGTCATATAACAAGTGCGGCAGAATAAGTGGTGGTCTCAGTATTTTCGACATATATACTTGATGTTTTTTCAAAAGATAGCTCGTGAAATCCTCTAGAAAAATCTTATGGAAAGAGCTTTTCGAATGAGCAACTATGAAATTATATCCTAATAAAATCATAACGTGTTCAGATTTATTACGAAGTAGAAGAAAAATGTTTCCTCTACAATTACGATAAAGACAGAGTGCTGAAAAGTGTTTCTTTTGTAACACATGACGCGTAGAACTAGAACTATCGATGGTTTTGGCTCGTCTTCAACTAAAATGGAACCTCACAATCTTGTTAGAAAGAGTACATATGAAAACAGAGGAAATTTGATTCAGAGTTGAGCCTTATATCTGTTTTACTAGGAAAAATGAAGTAATTATTTTTATAAGAATATGGAGTAGAATGTAGTTTATTTCGGGGCATTGAAGTGTTAATCGGATATAATTTCATAATTGCTCCCTCGAAGAGCTCTTGTCATGACAATTTTCTAGGGAATTTCACGGGCTGCTTATGGAAAAAAATCGAGTATATGGGTCAAAAATTTAAAGAGATATTTCGAAAATACTGAGACGGTCATTTATTCTGCCGTACCCATTACAAAAAAAATCAATTATAATTTTTTTTAATTGTATAAAATAGACAAAACTCTTGTTAAGAACTTGTTTCTTTCATGGTTATATTTCACTATTAGTTGAACAGCATGATCATAAATATTCTCAAATATATTTGAACGGTATTTTTACAAACATCTAAGAAAGAAATCACTCCGTTCGATCGATAAATTGAATGTTAGAATTTTGATAATTGATAAAAAACATACAATCCTATAGTATGACTATTATGTACTCTAATATTTTATCTTTGTCGTAAAATTTGTTTAATTATTAAAAAAGAATGAAACGAAATGGAATGAAAACATGATTTAGCTAAGAAGATATTTATTGTCATAATATTAGTACAACTATGAGAAAAATGTTATGAGCTATACAGATAATTTTGTGTATATTGAATAAATAATTGAAATAAATTTCATACAGCTAGTTGTGTATATACAAATACGAAAACAGTAAGTAATCGTTCATTAAATTGTTTAATTTTGGAGATTGATAAGAATGTATCTATTTCTGAGTAGTTTTTAAGATTTCTTCAGTAAGACGAGCTTTATAGGCATCCATTGTGTTCTGTAAGAGCATAACTACTGTCATTGGTCCAACTCCACCTGGTACAGGAGTAATTAAACTTGCACGTTTCCAAAGATTATCAGTTTTTTCAACATCACCACAGACTGTCATTTGTTTTGTTAATTCATTTTCCATTACTGTAATACCAGCATCGATCACGACAGCACCTAGTCTAATCCAATCTGCTTTCACTAGATTTGCAACACCAGCACTGGCTATCAGAATATCAGCTCGTTCTACTTTTTCTTGTAAGTGATTTGTTTGTACTGTGCAAATTGTAACAGTGCAACCGCGACTTGAAAGGGCCAATGCCAATGGAAGACCAACTGTTTTCGAAGCACCAACAATGCAAACAACTTTACCAGGTAGTTTAACATGATAAAACTCCAGTAAGTGAAGAATACCACGAACTGTGCAAGGAATAAATGAAGTAGAAGAAGATGGCGAAGTTGAAGATATACATAAATCAGCTAACTGTAAAGAATGTAATCCATCCACATCTTTTTCTAAACAAATTTTATCGAGGATGCGTCGACGATCGAGTTGTTCAGGTAACGGTAATTGAACTACAATACCATCAATCAGAGGATCATTATTCCATTGATTAATTTGTTGTAAAATAACTGCTTCTTGTTCATCTATGCTGCTTGATTGATTGTCATTAATGTGTACTACTTGTGTAAGAAAACCAAAACTAGAAGCAAGACTATTTTTCTTTTGAACATATAATAATGAATCACGACGATTACCAACAACAAGACAAGCTAAACCTGGTGAACGAGGTGTTAAACCAGCTTCAATTGCACGAGTTTGTAAAGATTTAATCTTCTGACTAATATTTGTTTGAATATGTTTAGCAATTTCTTTACCATTAACACGAATTGCTGTTTCACGTCCAAGTTTCTTTATATGCCATGGTGTAATAACTGGTGGAATTTTATAAACAAATGAATGACAAGCTAAATTATAAGAAGAATTTCGAAAATTTTCTGCCATTTTGGCCAATTCAGTAGATCGACATGCAGCTAGTTTATCATAAAATAATGGACCATCTTCTTCTTTTTTCTTTTTTATTAAATTATCATAAATAACATCAATTGTTAATAAATGTGCCATCATTTCAACTTTTGTTAATAATTCATCTGGTGATTGACATAGAATACGATCAATTAAATGAATTTCTTCTGCTTTCTGAGCTGATAATGGTTCACAAGCTTCTGTTATTTGACGTGCATTATCATAACCAATACGACGAGATAAATTATGAGTCCAATATTCACTTCCAAAGAGACCCATTGTACGATAATGTGGATTGAGAACTACTTCCGAGTTAGCATAGACATAATCCGCTGCTAATGACATCATTACACCTTCAGCACCTGCATTACCTTGCAATGCAGATATTGTTATTTTATTTTTCATTGACATAATTTTCAAAATAACATCATTAAGTGCATTAATATTAGCATAACTTTCAATATATTTATCTTCAGCAGCTTCGATCACGTTGAGATGAATTCCATTACTAAAATAACTACGTCCACCACATAGTACAAGAATCTTGAAATTATTAATTTGTTCAATTTCATTGAGAGCTTGCAAGAGACGTTGACACTGTGTTGTTGACATTGCACCATTATAAAAGTCAAAATGTAGGAAGATAATATCGTTCTTTTTTTCATAATAAATTTCATTAAAAGTGACGTCTGTAGGTACAGTATTAAAACTGACAGATAAAACAGGTAAAGTGCTTAACTGGTCAGGATCTATTACTCTTGTTGCTGGTAATTTAATGTTATACGGTCTAGCACGTTTCATATGGGTTATCCAAACAGCTTCTCCGTTACCACCTTGACATGAAACCAATATGGCACCATCACGTTGACCTAATAGTTGTTTCGATGGTGTATTTGGAGGTACTTTAATCAACTTCTCAATATGGGCACCATACAAATACATTCCACATCCAAAAAGTGCATTATCTAATAAACCTGGATTTGAATCACGTGAAGATATTTTTCGTACAATTGTTCTTGCATCATCTTCTTCCCAATTAATTGCACATTGTGATTGTTTCATTGTTGGTTTAAGTGTACCTTTAACCGTAGGATTAGAATAATCAAGTGGAGTTGGTTCAATTTGTTCGATAAAATTTCTTACTGCTCTATTTATACTTTGTAATGCAGCTGGTATAACTTGATTACGATAAACTTTTGATTTAGTTAATTGTGAGAGTGGTAGATTGGCAAGAGAAAAATTTTGAGTTCCATAAATGGGACCAGCATCCATTTCCTTGTCAGCTTCCATAATTGTCACGCCCCATTCTTTTTGTTCTTCTAGTAATGCCCAATCTAAACTATGTGAACCACGATCACCAACAATACCTGGATGAACAATTAATGTTTTAACTTTTCTAAATAGATTTTCACGTACGACTTTCGTTAAAAATGGACATATGATTAAGTCTGGATTTAATTCAGTTGCAACCTGTTCCATTTGTGATGACGATAAAGCCATTGCAATCATAACATTATGTCCCATTTGGGTTAACATTAAATAAACAGCTTGTGACATCGAATTATGCGTATTTGATAAAAGTAGAATACGTAACTTCTTTATCAGTCTTTGTTGTTGTTCTGATCGATTGATTGTATCTTCAAGTTGATGTGCATTTGTAACATGTTGAGAATTTATCCGATCTTGTTGATGTTGTTGAATAAGTTTAGATAAATGTTCATGTACAGCATTAGTAGAAAAATTTGATTGGTTAGTTGCAGAAGAACATTTTTGAATATGCCGCAGTAAACCGTTTGTCCGTGGTATAGTTGAATGACACTTTTGGATGAGTGACATTTTACTTGTGTTAATATATTTTTTTGAATCGAGTACAATAACTTTAACAAAAAAATGTAACTAACTTGAGGATAAGAAATAAAATAAAGTGAATCAACAATTAATAGAATAAACGTTTTTTTGATAAATATTTAAATTTTAAATTGTTTGTAAGTCTTCTAATCAATATTTTAAACAAGATATGCGTTAAATGAATGAGTCATTTGGTCAGTAAGGAAATAAATGAATTGGATCTGAAATGATAAGTAGAACTAAGAAAAATATACAAAAAAAAGATATATATTTTTGGAGAAACAAGGATTGGGAAAAGTAGATTTAAATAAATTTCAACTTGTGATAATTCTATTTTACTTATAAATGAATAATAGATAACAAAAAATTGTTGAACAAATTTGAACGACGCGTTTCGAATACTTCTTCAGACTATCTAATCAGTTATATTTCTTGGTACACTCTTTTATACCCCCGTGTTTCTTTGATTCTAACTCTATTGATTGATCTATCTTCGATTTCTCTCTCTCTCTATTTATTCTCACTGACTAACTGGCTGACCGCGATTAAGTCGAAATGAAAAAGAGTAAATAGACTAATGTACGCACTATAACTAGTTTATTCGAAAAAGAACGATAGAAGAGAACAACAAGAAGGAAAGAAAAGAAAAGAAAAGAAAGAGAAGAAGGAGTAACTGCCTAATTCGATTTCGAATATAAACAGATATTAAAAAAAGAAAAAGTAATATCTATTTCTAGGAATAGATTTAGTTTTAGAATAATTTTCAGACAAATCTCCTCACTCATCCCTTGGTCGTATATATGAATTATATATATCTTAGAGTAAAACTAAAACTAAAACTGAATATATTCTTAAATTTCACCATTTATTTTCGAACTAGGCAGTTCATCAAAACATATGACAGAAAGTACAAAGAGGTCAAAAAAAACATCGTATATATATTCACATTGAAGGGGTGACAATATCAGACGGGATCGAAGAACAATGTTAACTGTTCAGAATAAAGAGATATTCATATTGGAGAAATGTATTTTCAGCAAAAAAACGCTTCATCGGACCTAAGACCGCTCATAAAAGAGAGGATTGTACTATCGAGAGATTTTACTGTATGTACATGATCATGCGATCATGTCATATACAAATATATCGAAAAGGATTAGTAAAAGAATATCACACCATATATGAAAGATAGTAGAACAATCGACGATGACCTCGATAATAACTAATACAGAAAGAAAAATGTTGAGAGAAGATAAAGAATAGTGGTTGGAGGAGAAATGATCAAGGAAATCAACCCAATAAACTGAATCATGCAAGTTGTTTACCTTTTGATGATGAAGAAAATCTTCATGTTGCTGAATATTTGAATGATCGAATTCAAAAATTTGGAATAATTTTGTAAATAAAATTTTGATTTCGAAGAAAAGAAAAAAAAGTTTTTTATTGAATAAAAACAGATCATAAAAATCGATATGAAAAGAATTTTTCTTTAATAAATTAAAAAATATTATTTTTGTTTTTCTATTGGTTTAAAGTTTAAAGAAAAACAAAATTGATAGATGGGCATGTGCGTGGGTTTATTAGAAGAATCACCCACACCCAAATTCTAGTACAAAAAGTAGCTAAATATCTTGAAAACTAATCAAGTAATTAGCGGTAGTTCACAACTAATTGAATTTATTCTTATTAAAAGCAGTGTTCTTAATAAGAACAAAAGGAAAAAAATGTTTATCGAAGATTAGGAGTAGGTTTTGGTTTTTCTCTTATAATCGCATCCTTATCGTTGTTTGAACAGTATTCTATCAATAATTCTTAAGTTATCTTTTAGAAGAATGATGATATGTTGATCTAATAGACTTATATAAAATACCCATTACTCTTTTAGTGATCATCAATAAATATGATAACTTCTGTCGGATTAAGAGAAAAGCAATCAATTATTTCAACGTATTTTCAGTCAATATGTTTCTAAATTGATCATTTACGCTGCAGTACAAAGAATACGTTTATTCAACCGACTTTAACAGTAAAGAACATTATAATGATAAAAAACATCAATACAATGTACATAGACAAAAATTTCAAGCAGATACGTGAGAAAAAAAGAGATATTTTTCTATGACATCATCTAACAATCGACAAAAACTTTTTCTACACGGCCAAAAAATCTCCTACTGATATTTTTTCTCAATAAATCCGTTTATATTAAAGCGTAAAAAAAGACTTTTCTGAAATTTTTCTCTTTTGAGATGGATATTCAATTTCGTATTAGTTATATCACAATTACAATATTAGAGTCAAAACTCATTATTTAATCATCAGCAAATTCTCAGATGATTTTTAGTATGAATATGATCGTTCAAAATCTGCATATGACTTGTTAGGTATTGCAATTACAAAACTGTTTAAAAAATAAATTTTCGATATTCCATGTAAGAACTCGATTAGTAATTATTCATTAAATTATATTATTACAAATCTTCGACTCGTTCATAGAACAAACTTGATGGAAGAAAAATAATCATTATATATTTATAGATTACCAAATCGATCAATGTTTTATGATTCTACCTAGCGACAGTTTCAATCAATCCAGTACGAGTCGAACAGTGTAGTGGCTAAAAGTATGACGTCAAAATTATAAGATCATACTCAAAGTACGAGAAAGAACGGCACTCAATACTAAATTTATAACGTTTCTAATTATATCTTACCCTTTAGTATTTTTTCTCTTCTTGTTTGCTCGCTTATCATATATAAACCACGTTTTTCTTTGCTTTCTCATTAAAAACGAAGGACATAAATCAAAAACAAAACAGATGCATTTTAACGTCTCTTATAAAACAAATAAATGATTTACAATTTTAGATTTAAATATTCAAATTTTTCTTTTCTTAAACATCAAAGTGTAAACAATGGCAAAAGTACCGACACGTCAATTAGGTAAAAATGGACCTCAAGTATCAGCTCTTGGATTTGGAGCTATGGGTTTATCAGCATTCTATGGTAAAACTGCATCAGATGAAGAACGATTTAAAATACTTGATCGAGCAATTGAACTTGGGTGTACATTTTTTGACACTGCTGATATATATGGTGATAGTGAAGATCTTTTAGGAAAATATTTTAAAAAATATCCTGAACAACGTAAAAAGGTTAGTGAAATGTTTTCATAGACGTGACAAGTTCAAATGATAATTTCTAAACTATAACAGATCAGTTATTACTTAAAATAAAAACGTGTTTCAATAAGTCTTTTTCCTATTTAAAAGAAATTACTTTCATTTTAATTTCAATCATATTTTCTAATATTTAGGTATTTATTGCAACAAAATTTGCTAGTATTATTTCGCCTGATTTTAAAATCTTTTCTCTTCGTGGTGATGCTGAATATGTTCAGCAAGCAAGTGAAAAAAGTTTAAAACGTCTTGGCCTTGATTATATTGATCTTTATTATGCACATCGTATTGATAAAACTGTTCCGATTGAAGAAACAGTTGGTGCAATGAAAAAACTTGTTGATGCTGGTAAAGTAAAATATCTTGGTTTATCTGAATGTTCAAGTGATACACTTCGTCGAGCATATGCTGTTCATCCAATTGCTTGTGTTCAAATTGAATATTCACCATTTAGTTTAGATATTGAACGAGATGAAATTGGTTTACTGAAAACATGTCGAGAACTTGGTGTAGCTATTGTTTGTTATTCACCTTTAAGTCGTGGTATACTTAGTGGACAAATTAAAAGCCCAAATGATTTAGAGGACGATGATACTCGAAAAATGTTACCGCGTTTCTCTCAAGAAAACTTTCCAAAAAATCTTGAATTAGTTAATCAATTAACTGCATTGGCTAAACAAAAAGGTTGTACTACCGGTCAACTAACATTAGCATGGATACTTGCTCAAGGTGATGATTTTATTCCAATACCGGGTACATCAAAAATAAAAAACTTAGAAGAAAATGCAGGAGCAGCTCAAATTAAATTAAGTAAAGAAGAAGTCAAAGAAATTCGTGACGCTTGTGAGAAAGCAGATGTACAAGGTGATCGTTACGATGCACGATTTAGTGGTAATCTGTTTAGTGATTCTGCTCCAAAGAAGAACTAAATAGACAATTACGCTCACTATTATAATAATCATACTTTAATAGTTCTTGTTTTTTTTCTAAGATTGAAATAAATCGTATATTCTCACATTATATTTAATAAAAATATACTACCATTTTGCAATTAGTTTATTTTATTTGAAACAATTACATAAACTCATTTATTTAATATTTTACATACTCATAGTGAAAGTACAATTAATGTTAGAAAACATACGAATTGATGAAAAAAACGTCTAAGAATAATAATTCTAGGTAATGGAAAAATCATCAACATGGACATTTATATTATCAATCGATTTCGAATGTTTTTTCTTTATTTCTCTATATAATCGCTTCACACGTCAATGATGTGGCTTTTATTCTTAGGACAACAAATATATCATATCAGTCTCATGCTCTCAGCACTCCAACTTGTGTTGATTCATCGTTTTCTTTTGTTGATATTCACTACCACTAATACCGAATAGATCTTTGGCATGTTTCATTGCAAATCCTTGATAGTCATTTTCTTCATTTGCATACAATCTCAACAACAATGGCAAATAAATCTTCATATTTTCGTTCGTGGTGATTGCGTGAACAAAGTCTTTTTTGGGCACACATTTATTCATTCGATAAAATTCTTCAACCAGTCTGCGCATTTCATTATATTTTGGCCTTATATTTTGTTCCATTTCGTCAATTCTTGTCAATGTTTTTGTATCATCGTTAAATAATTTTCGTAGATCATCAGTTTGTCCATTAATGATAGCTTCAAATAATGATCTCGGAGAGTCTTCTGTTCCACCATCACCATAAATCATAAAGTATTTTTGTGTTTTAATTTTGACAAGATACGATGAACGATCCGGTTGAATGATTTCAACAACATAGCCTTCACCATGCGTTTGTTGATAAGTCTCTTGGAGTAGTTGTTTATGTGTGACATCGGATGAGATAGATTCGAATGAAACAAGATGATTGAGAATTGTGAGAAAATGATTTTCGAGAAGAAATCTCTTCAATCGACTACCAAACAAAGTGTGTCCATCTGCATGAGATCGAATCGATAGAATAGTGAGTTGTGCTTGTGAATAGGAAACGAATAGGTGACTGGAAGGCGTTGTATATTCCATATTAACAGTATAATTGAGACGAACTAGTTGTTCGAGTTCAGATTGGAAGTCATCTTAACAAAAATTACGAAAGATGTTTAACAGTGATTATATTTATCATATTATTGTGAAGTAGAAGAATATATCATACAGATGGTGACTCACTCTTTGATCCAATCCTTTCTTTCTCCTGTCTATAATTTTGAAAAGTTTATAATTCAAGTATCATTTGGACATCTCAAAAAAATCGTAATATGAAAACATATCATCTTAACTCTTTTCTACTCTACAGGTCTTCTACTTGTAGGCAAAATATAGGAACAAAAGTCTTGCTAGCCACCATCGTTGATGCCGTCTTGTAATATAGTGACTTATTTACGTATCGAAAGACTTTTTTCTAGAAGCAAGCTAAATTTCGATTCTTTACCTATCACTCAAAAGCTACAAACTTAATGGAATTATAGTAGTATATACGGCACAATCGAGCTAATTAGTTATTAAAATATCTACTGCATCTGATAGTTTTAACTTAACCGAAGTAAAAATACTGTAAGGTAGGCCTCCAGACGTTTCGTCGTAGTCAGTTCAAAATGTGCAAAACAAAAAGTAACGATAAAATGGGTAAATGTCGGTGACGGGTGTATTAAGTTGCATACCTACGAGTAACCGCATTGCTTCCAAAACTTGATTTGATGTGAGTGATTGTTTGGATTTAAGTCGAAGTACTTGTTTTTGCGATGTTCTACCATGTAAAAATGTTGATACTAATGATCCATCCATTTTTTCCATTTTGTCTCCTAATTGACCACATTGATGAAATTGTTGTTGACCAAAACCTTCTTCATAATCGAAAATTTTCTCTAATGGTAATGAAACAAGTTGGACATGTTTCAAGTTCGTAATATTAAACATTATTCCACAACAATTCAAAGCTGCTGGATGAGTCATAAATCTTCCGTAAGAACAAAGACGACAGTTGAATATACGATAATTTATGGCATGTAAACGAATATCTTTGTAATAGAAAATATCATCCTGGGAACAAAGATTCATTAAATCAGCATAGAGTGTATCCATATTTATTTTTTTCGATGATGTAGCCATGATAAGAGTAAAATAAAAGACAGATGCAATATTCTACTATTTATATATTCTTTTTCATATTGTAATTGCATAACATGTCGTAATTGCGAAATTTCTCCGTAGAAATTGAAAGAAAAATAGATAGTTAGTCATTTATACAATGACAATAAACGAAGTGATTTCAACGTTAGAAATGTTAACAACTATTGTATTGCAATCAAAATAAATTCGATGGATGATCCTCATTTCATTTGTGCTCTTTGATTATACGAAAGTTCAACAGTCATTTTTTCTCTAAAAGTAAAACTTGCAGGTATGAATGCTTGATAAAGAGAAAACTTCCACGCACAAGATGAGTTAAATTTACCCACAGTTATGGCTTTTTCCTTTGATATGAGTCCGGGTGTGAGTACCGTTTTTCTTTTTTTTTGCTTAAAACTGTAATACAGAACTCTGATGAGTATTTTAAAATTAAACAAATAACATGAAACGCATCGGCGTATTAGCTCTGTATTAATTTGATTGATATTTCCAAATATTTTTGAGATACGTTCGACTTCCTTGGTTGCTGGAAAGCAAGATTTAGGGGAATAGCAGATTGAACTTGTTTCTTTGTCAAGAGATATGGTCAGTCTGTCTACATATGATTGTTTGCATTCTATTCTCTTTCTATTGTTCTTTCATTCTTTGAGAACTATACTATTTCTTTATTATTGTAGATAAAATACTATTCGATTTACTTTCCTTGAACAATACTATTTTATTAATGAATCAAATGTCACTTTATTTGATGTAAATCTTATTGTCAAACGTATTTTTCGTGATTAGATTTTTATTTTAGATCAGCACCAACAGCAGTCTATTAGATTTATGTAGAATTATATGCCATCTAAAAATGACTCTTTAGCAAGGTCGAAGCTAGTCGTAGTAGCTATATATCTGTGTACGCCCTAAAATTTCAAGATAACTTATGTTAATCTAAAAGATTAACACAAATGAATGTTATCATATATAATTATTTCATAATTGATGATTTAATTTTATTGCTTACAAGTAAAAGATTATTAAATTAGTTAATTAGACGATTTTTGTTATTCAAGATTTAATCAATTAGATTAGGTTTTATTGAATTACTTCAAATCTTCTTTGATAAAAATGAGGATGTGTTGATGTGAGCTGTAGATATGGGCCATCGCAAGAGATAAACACCTGACCGTCACCCACACCCACATTCTACTATGAAAATTCATACAAAGCCTTTGAGCTCGTATTCAGAGAGAGTAGAAAATACCAGTGGTTATCCAATTCGTTATAACAATTTTGATAAATTAATCGAAAATAAAATCATCGAATGATTAACATAAAGTAAGACAAAAATATTGATAAATGTGAAAAATAAATAAATTATGAATTCATTTGCAACTCATTATTCTTTTAACATTATCAATAATTTTTTCAGAAATACTAATAAAGATTAAAAGATAACTGATATAACTCTTTTCTTAATATTAGTTTAATTGATAATATTTCACAGGTTAACTTTTTGTTATTCCTTAATAATCAAAACAATCTACGTTCTATGACGAATTGAATTTGTATTTACTATTGTTATTACTATTCTTTTTCATTTGTGTATTTTCCTATAATTTAAATTTCAGTAGAATAAAATAGAGACGAAATAAAAGTACCATTGATGTTATTATAAATACTAAATACTGATCTGGATAAAAACCCATGTTTATACGAATTGTTGTTTTGCCAGACATTTATTTTTACGAAAACAAAAAAGGTTTTGTTTTGCTTCGTTTCTTTCGACGAGAAATATTGCGACATTCAATAAATAATCCAAACAATAGTGAAGATCAGAACGATAACATTTTACCTGTAATTTTCTATTCAAGAAAAAAGAAAAAGTAATGTGTTTTGTCTATTCAAAGCTATGATAAATTTATAAAACATATATTTGTTTTTTGAAGACATACATTAGTAAAATTAAAATGCAAAAAAACATTTATTCTATGCAAAATCTTTTAACAATTCATAAGAAAAAAATCATTAAAAAACATGTAGATTTTCTTTTTTTTAATCGCATAATAGATATAAATCTTAATTGATTGAAACTTTAGTTAAATCATTGATAAACATATGTCGACTAAATGTTGTATATAGATGTCTATACCAAAGTACTTGTGATCGATGAGCATGAAATGCTTTTAAACCTTGAAAATATCCGAAGGGTGAACTAACAAATAAAATACGTTGATCATTTGGTGATGAAAATAAAAATGGTAATATTGTTGAAAATAAACTTCGTAATAAACGAGGAATAAATTTGATTAATGTTCGAAATATATCTAATATTGAAGAAAATTCAAATAATGATGTAACAGTTGAAATTCTATAGATTAATGGTGTTTTTAAATTTTTTTCAATATAATATTCAATTCCAAGAGCAACAGATTTATGATTAATATGACCAGAGATACCACCACGATCAAATGTTATTAATAAATCAATATGAAATTTTTTTACATATTTTTGTACAATATCTGAAATATTCCATTTTGGCCACCAACGATGAGGATTATCTTGTAAATCAGTTAAATTCAATGATAAACATCGTGATAAATCAATACCTAATTGTTGACAACTTCCATTTAATTCTTTTTCACGAATTGGTCCTAAACCTTCACTATTACCAGTTGAAAAAACAAGAATATGACCGATTTTTCCACGAGATACTAATCCAATAATAGTTGGACTAAAAAATAAACATTCATCATCTGGATGAGCAACGACAATAAGAAAATTTTTTGATTGTTCAACTTCCATTGGTATAAATGATTTCACATTTTTAATTGGAGTTATAATAATAAATAAATAAATGCATAAAGGAATTAAAATAATATATCGAAGAATAAATAAAAGTCGTATTCGACGAATAAATTGAATAAATATTAACAGATTTTCATTAGTATTATCTTTACATTCATTACATGAATCAACAAGATTAATTGCATCGTCTTCATCTTTTTTATCATAACGATATTTTATATTTCGAGAAATATTTTTAATTTTTCCAATTATTTTCATTATAAAACAAATATCTGAAAAAAAAGAGTATGTCTTTTTTTATATTTAACAAGTTTTATTCAAAATTTTTATTTTATTAATTAAAACAAATATAAAAATGGAGTTTGTGCATTACATCTCAAAGTACTATTTTACAAGAAAAAAAAAACTTTTATCCAAAATGAAACGAATCTACAAATCATGTTTAGTTTATCAATGTAGATTCATTTCTTACACAAAGTAAATAAAGATATAAATTTATTTTTTTCCTATTTTTTAAAAAATTGAACTATTCGTTTTGTTCATTAGAAAATTCAACGAAAGATCAGTAAAATATAACTTGAGAAGTGAATAAACAAATATGGATAAATTGATTGATGTGCAAATGTTTGTTAGAGCGGGAGTAAAAAAAAATAATTATCTTATTTGAAATAAAGAATCATGTTTATTAAACAACATTTTCTTCATTGCCATTGTTAAATATCAGTATTTATTCACAAAACCCGTTGGATCAAAGTCTATTTAAAAAGAAAAAAAATATTATTAATATTATTGTTAATCTTAAATATAATATTTTCTATTCGAGTTTATATCTAATCTAAGTCAAATTCTATATATACATATAAAATAAAACCAATCAAAATTAATTTTATTTGTCAAAGTAATCAACCAATAATTAGAATGAGTTAATATTTTGTCAGGCTATGTATTAAACAGCCTGACAAAATATTAGTGAAAATAGATTTGCTTCAATTTATCCAAATTTGAATTCAAAAAAACTATCTACTTTGCTAATACTAAAGAAATAATCTAATAAAATTCTCATGAAATCTTTTTGAACAATGAAAGATATCGTATTAATTGCAATTGAATTTTAAATATTACCTTAATAGAATTTCTGTTTCGTCCAATAAAAAATACACAGATAAAAGTAATAAAAACGATAATTGAAATAGAAAAAGTTTGAGTTTGATGTTGAATATCCATCGGTATATTTTTAAAAAACATATCATCAGCTTTATGCCAAGATCCACTTCCTAAATGTTTAAAAACTGGTGTATTTGTTTTTCCACCGATCATATTTTCTTTTCCATCAAGAATTAATATTGAACTCCATAATGAACGATTTAATTGTATTTGTATTGATATACACATTGGACCTGTTGATATAATTATTGTTGCATGTGGTAAAAGAAAATTTCGATTATAAAGTTCAAGATTATCAATAACACGTTTAAGAAGTGGATGTTGACGTGTTGTTATCATAAAACCATTGGATATACCAACTGGAAATGCTTTAACAGCTAAAAATATATGTTCATCAAGTGATACACGATTATCTAAATAATTAAATAGTCCATCTAATTTATGAAGACAATATAAATCCATATCAAGAAATATTCCACCATAATGATGTAAAACAAAATATCTTAATGCATCAGCTTTTTGAATATCAGTTTTATATGACAGCCAACTTTTAACAAACCATGGATAATTTTTTTCAAGAAATTCTTTACCATTTTTATCAGTCCAATAATAATGTTCTTCAAAATTTGAATGAAGTGCAATACAAGAATTTCTTGCCGATAGCCAACTTTCGGGTGGATGAGAACTTAATGGTCCGAGTAAAATATGATGCATACGACGTGGAATATATTCATGTCCTTTCGGTTCATTTGATAGATTCAATAGATCGATTTTAACATGTAACGGAGCAGTGAATGGCCATGTTATATAACAATTTAAAAAGCCTAGTAGACATAGAATATAACCACGAAATAATATCATAAATAATATAAATAAACAAAATAATATTCGAAGTAATGTTGTTCTACCACAATGTAATTTAAATCGTTTTAGCTCAGTAATTATTGTCTTTTCAAAACAATTTCGATATTTTTTTATTGAAAGATTTTCAGTTAAAAAACTTGATTTTTCATTATCATAATCCATTGTATCACCAAATAATTAACAATTAATTTAAAAATAAAAATAAAAATCGACTAGTTCAATTGAATTACCTAAAATTATTAAAAAAAAAGAAAGAATTAATAATTTATATTAATAAACTAAAACTTTTTTTTTTCACATAATATAGATATGAAATTACCTAGAATTCATATTAAGTCATTGACTAGAAATATTTCTATCATGTTATCAGATGTATTTTAGAGAATATAAACTAACGTTAAAATTTGTAAATCAGTTCTATTGCTTCCCTTGTAGGTGTGGATTGGACAGTCTGACATGAAAAAAAGAAATTTTTTTTTTCTTTTCTCCTCTTATTTTTTTATCGCCCACTGTTTGAGCTACCGAAATAATGAGTAAGAATAAATAATAATAAGAAAAAACAAAAAATTATTAATTCTATTCAGTATAATATCAGTAGGAACAAAAAAATCAATTGATTTAAAACAACTAAATATAATTTATTAGAGATTTGATCAAATTACTTCTATTTTTCACGACAAAAAAAACTAAAACTTAATATTTTTCTTCTTACTTCTTTTTCAAGAAAAAAAAAGAAAAGAGCAAACATGATCATATATTAAATTTCGAAGAAATACACTCCAATGTCAACATACATTAGATTTCTTCATCTCATTCATACATAGTTTTATTCAAAACTCAAGGTTTTGATCGAATAGATTTCTTTTTTTCTATTCCATTATATTAGTCAAATAAATTATATATATATAGAACATTTTTTATTGAAGAAAAAAACAAAACTCAATGTCTGTAAGTTCAATATAAAATCACTAATGAACAACTAACTACGTATCAACAGAAAAATATATTGATTTATAAATATGTCATAGTCTATTGATTTACTATTCTATTCTATGTGTCTAGTTGCCTATAAGTAAACAGATTGTTATATAGATTTGAAAGAACGTACTACAATTTCGAAGAAATCTAACTAAAAAGATTTGAGATTATTCGGAAGAAGAAAAAAACAAATTGTATTGAGTTATAATGTTTACCTGCGAAGAAGGGAAAGTTATAGTTGGTAGAAATCAAATAATATATATACTATCCAAGAAGATAATTGAATAGTAAGAAATTATTTTATTTCTAAACAAATATAACTATCAATGAATAAAATTCGTCTAACGTTTATGATTATATATATATATATATATATTGTTTAAGATTCTTCGAGAGAATTTTTTAAAAAAAGTACATTATTCTCTTCTTCGTCATACGTATTTTTTCTTTTTCTCTTTTGTCATTCATCTTTACATCAACTAAATTTTTTTTTGTAAACAGAATACAAAAATTCAGTTACTAAGAAACACTACCTTATTATTTGAGTTAAATTTAAATATATAGCAACATGCAACGCAAATCTATTATTTATATTCTGACGTATCAATAAACCTCAGACGTCTCTCATGGTAACGATGTCAAAATCACCTAGCATACATTTTTTTTTGAAAATAATTTGTTTTATATTAGACAAAAAACAATTCATTTGATCAATTCTTTAGAAAATAATTTTAAGAACATTGGTTTGTATTTTCAAATAGATATTTTTTCGATCTTTGTAAGAATTTTCTAGTTTATTCATATACATAATCATAACTCCTCCTACGTCAGAATATTTGATTATTTCTTAACTAAAACTTTTAAGCTTGCCATTAGTAAGTGAGACTATGCGACATATTTTTTAATTGGCATTTGCGCGTATTTATTTATTTTACGTCTTTAACAACTATATCGAACGTAGTTGGAAGAAATGCCAATACATATGCTCAAATAGAAGAGAAAGAAAAGAAAAAAAATTCGTTAACGACAAGAAAAGGTAAATTATTGTAATTTATTCTAGTCATAGTAACAATAACAAGAAAAAGTAACACGTCTTATGCAACTATGTTCATATGTCATAAATCAGAGTGCATTAATAATAAGGTAAATGTATGAAAATAAATCTTACAAAATCATGACTTTTTCTATCAAAATTTCAATTCTATTTTAACAAAAATAAAGAAAAGAAAATTTTTTATTAATACATACCGTCGTAAGGAAGTAGTTTTCTTCAAATTTGAAATTTGTCTGTTCGATCCACTTATCAGTAATAAAAAAAAATAAAGTATATGTTAATGTATTTATGAACAAGGTATAAATGCAATTGTCATAATGATACCATTAAAATCGAATTATAATCATTAGTAATAGTTATTCAAACAACAAGAAAACGGAATAAATGAATCAGTACCACGCTGTGTAAATTTAAAATAGATTCGTTCTCAAATGAATCGTTTTTAATGTCTCCTAAAATCAATAAAAAAAAAAAGAAAATGAAATGAAATGTAATGTAATGAATATATTTATATAGATAATACAAATTTATCTTTTTGTTTTTTTACAAATATTTGTTTTAAATAATTATTCTATTCTTACTCGATACGTAGATAAATACGAATGATTACATCAATACTTTTCAAAATGCAAAAATAATAGTCAATGAATTCCAGCTGCTGCATTACTATTCAAAGAAATAGAAGAATCGACCATAATGACTAAATAGAATTATACCTTTCGTCTACTCTTTTCATATAACTTAACACTACTGTTTCTTTTTTTAGGTTATTTCTGATTGAATATTCATTCTTTTCTTTTCTTCTCTTCTCTTTCAATAAGACAATCAAAATTGAACAATAGAAGAATAAGAAAAAAGAAAATTTCTAATAGTGTCATATCAGGCTATTTATAAAGAAAATATGATTTCTCGTAATCTTTCGATTAGTTTTGTATTTTAATTACACTTATCACTAATATCAATGCTAATAAATAAAGAAAAAAGCTTAAATTACTAATCAAAGTATATAGAAAACTATCAAAGAAAAAAATTCAAAATGAGATGTAAAAAGCATATATTGCCTTAACGACAGATGTTTTTTCTTTAAATAGACAAAAAAAAAAGAAAAATTTATGAAGTAACTATCGTTTCTAAAGAATAAATTGAGAAAAATCTACCTTAAAGAAAAAAAAGCAATTTAATAAAAGAAATAGTATTTTCATGACGTTAGAAATATATATAGTTAAACGTTTTTTAACAGTCCTTCACCGAGAATAAAATGTGCGCTTTTATTAACATTATGCCAACATCATTTTGTTATTGGTTTCTTTTTAAATTCAAGAATAGAGAAAAACGTTTTTTTCCGGTTATTTAATGAGAAAAAAAATATATTTATCTCATTAATTAGAAAGAACCCAGTTCATATTTATACTGAACGGCCTGGTTCTATATTACTCATATTCATTCGTAACATAAAAATGTTCAAGATAAGTAACATTCTGTCATTTGAAGAATATACCATTGAACTAGAATTTAATATAAAGCATTTTTTTGTTTTATTAAAATAATGCAATAAAATTCAATCGATTTTCATAGATTAATGTGATAACTGAAAACATACCATATTATAGAAATAGATTTTAAATTGATTTGTATTTGAAATAAGTCTCTAGATATGACTTATATGATGTATTCTTTATGTCTTGACATATTTCTTCTGTAAATTGTGTATGAATATTGTTTAAATTATAATTCATCATCAATATCATTTTGTAATGGTTGCTTAGTCCACCTTGGTGACATTTTAAAACGATGCCAGTCACACTTGATCAAAGCCAATCACTGATCAGATATCGTGCATATACAACATTTACTTTTACTATTTTCATATGAGGTTTTTTCCGTTAACTTCATATTCTCTATCTTTCTTTACTTTTTTGATATTTCCTATAAATTTAGTATAGGACTATAATAGTACACTTCTTTATCTTGTGTAATATCATGATCGTTATGACATACTCAAATAGAAATAGTTGACACTGTCAATAACAATCATCGATAAAGATAAAAAGAGTTTTGTAAATGTTTATCAATCATTTATACAAATGTTACAAAAAGTAATACTTTGTTTTTTTCTGTTTATGATCGATTTATTCATCATTTTCAATAAATTAGATGCATATATCAACTCTGATGAATTCACGCTATATTAAATATATCCACCTGTTTGCCAAAAAGTAGAATTTGAAATATGTTGAAATCAATTTCGTTATTTTTAACTGTGTGTTCAATACACTTTGTTGTACCGACATATCTTTTTTGTAATGAAAAAGCACTTACATATATGCACAGCTTTGATTTTCAGTTATATAGTGTTGAATTTGTTTAATGTTATTTCCATGATAATAATTGTGTATGATTTGAATAATTTGAATTTAAAAAGAAAAAAAATGATATACTCTTGCATTATAATATTATATTCATATCGATGCTTCACAGTGTATATTATAGAATTCCATAATATTAAATCTTTAATTTTTGGCTTCTTTTGTGCAAAAAATAGAGTTTTTGAAAAGAATATTTAATTATTATTTTTATATTTAAAAAACTCATTCGTTATTCATCTTTCTGTGATAGTTAGTGAAAGAATGGATAACTCAAAGAGATGTATTATAATTAGGACACCTATGTCGTTTATAACCTTGAAGTTTATAAAAGAAGCAATCCATAAATTTTTTTCAAGGTTATATATATATGTAAATGAATTCTATAAGTCAAAAACAGAACGAATTTATAGAAATAACAAAATTAGCAAGGATTTTACAAGCAAATCGAAGCTCTTTCGATAGTATGAGAGAGAATAATCTGTAACACATATAAAAAATAATAATCACAATGAAGTACACTATAAGAACAGAGAATATTAATACAATGTACATAGATAAAAATTCCAAACAGACACGTAAGAAATAAAGAGATATTTTTCTATGATATCATCTAACAATCGATTAAAGTATATTCTACTGTGTGGTATCTTTCCTCTATAAATGTATTTATATTAAAATATAAAAGGAAGTTTTTTACTATTTTCAAATGGATATTCAGTTTTGTATTATTTGTATGACAATTACAATATTAGAGACAAAACTTATTATTTAATCATCAGTAGGTTTCAAGATGATTTTTAGTGTAAATATAATTATTAAAGATCTGGAAATGACGTGTTAGATATTAAAATTAAATATTTTTTTACTAAAAAATGATTTATAAGTAAACTTACGATATTCCATGTACGAACTGGAT